ACCACACAGCCCCACAGCTCCTTCCCTCCACTGTCTTCCCACCACACAGCCCCACCACTCCTCCTCTCCCCTGTCTTGAACTGAAACACATTTATAAACTATCTGTTTTACCTGGTTAAGGTAAAGAGCATATCCTTTTGTCAGCATAATTCTGGTTTAAATTGGCTGATGGCTGACGCTTCCGCGAACCTAAAAAGCCTACGGTTGGCCGAACTGTAAATAATTTGAAATACATCATCCTTGTTTACAATGTGCTCGAAATTTAGAATTTGCCACGCAACTGCTGATGCTAGATGTGACTCAACTCAATTCAACTCAGATAGGTAGAACTCTGGGAAAGCTCGCCCAACCTTAAAGTCATATTCATTCATTGTTCTACTGTGCCATTATACGTCACATGTGGCTCAGCCTATATTCCTCCACTCCGCTCTATCTTATGCAATTGATTGGCACCTTGTCGTCCCTTCAGACAATAGTGTATATTGCGCTATGAAGCTGCTTGATGATCACAGCCTATGGCGATGGCAGTTACGGCCAGGGATGAAGTTCATCCTCTCCATAGCTCAAAGACTGGGCAGTATGGTAAAGACTAAATGTTGCCCATGCATCATGATCCCTCTCTCAACCTACCTTGTTTACTTCAAAGGAAAGGTAACAGGAGTACGTTTGAAGCAGGCTGCAGAAACTGATGAATCAACAGAGCAGTGCTCTATCTGTTTGCCTCTCGAAGCTTCCCTCCTAGACCAGCTGCCAGCCAAGGCTAAGGGCCTGGTCTGCCCTGCCGTAACAAAGTTTTCAGGTTGCATTTCCTCTTCCTAGTATAAGACAAGGATCCTCCCCAAAGCGCTCCCCCACCCTAAGCCGTAAGCACAATATGGGATGTAGGGTTTGGTATACGCCGCCCAACATTCGGCTTACAGAAGACAGGTGATACCGGCTACTGTTACACAGTAGCTCAGTCATATCTGACCAAGACCTGACCCTGCAACATCTTGTCATCTTGTTACCTCCTGTTTTCTTGTGCAGTCTGTTTAATATTATGGATATAATCCAATCCAGTAGTTGCCCAGACATTTCTCTTTCTTTTTTACCCCTTTTCTAAGCCACACATGTTATGTTCAATATTTTCCTTGGGCATTTGTTTTCGAGTACATTTAACTATCATTCGTTGTCTTAGTCAGCGTATGTGGCTTCGTAATACCAGTGTGCGAGGTTCGATCCCAGCTTCGGACGATTTATTTTTCATTAATTTCGACAAAGTTACCTACAGCTGACCGTTCACAAGCAATAGCAAACTACTGAACGTAAAATTTGTCTTGATAAACCACAACAGCTAAAAAATTCTGGGGTTTGTTCTGCAATGCCTTGTAAAGGATACGCAACTAACTTTCCTTGTCTCAAGTAGTTGACTAACTTTCATTGGTATATGTGAGAACTGCTATAGCATTACAATGAACAGCCATATAGCAGTTATACTGAAGCACCTGTAGTCCAGTTTAGGGTTGTCTTAATGGTCTGGTGTAAGTCCCTTCCAAGTTTAGTTGAGTTGAGTCAAGAATTGACATCATAGCACTTGGGGCAATACCATGCGTGCCCTGTCCTCATCTTCAGCAGCCAGTGCAAAGTTCCCAGCACTGATGGTGCCGGTCACATTCTGATTACGTGTCCCTTTTCCTTTTCGCTGAGTGTAGTGAGCCGGCCAGTCCCTCTGGTTAAACCCAGGTGCCTCATTCTCTCCAGGCCATAATAATCTTGTTTCTCTACTGATTCCGTTGTCATGTACCAATTCACCCCCTCCCCTCCCCCGGGTCACCCCTTCCATCCCCACCCCCAGTGGTGCAGATCCAGCCAATCTGTCTGCCTGTTCATTACCCACTATGCCGGAATAGCCTGGAGAAGTCCCTTCCAAAAGTCGTGCCCTCAAAATTGTATTAGCAAAGGGAGGTAAGCAATTAAATCTTGAGGTTCTTCACCTAATGGCTTCGTTCCCTTTGTGGTTGTGTTCAAACGTTTCTATTCTTTGCAACAATGGAAATTCACGGTTGGACGACAGTAAATATAATTTAGGACGCTCTTAGTGTCATTCAATTATCTCTTCTTATCTTGAAATCTCCTGTAAGAATCAACAGGAATTACTGCATATGGCTGTGTATTTCCTATGTCCTTATAAGTTCATAATTTACAACTGCACATTTTATTTGTTAGTACAAATAATTTGTGTACCAACATAATACACACATTTTCTTACGTCCTTCTTAGGACGTTATTTTTTGTTATTTGAATGAACACAATCCAGAATCAAATAAGATCGCGACCAGAAAACGTCACCACAAATATAGCTGAAAGGAAAGTGAGCAGAAATGTGAACGGACCTAGCTGAAAGTGGTCAAAGAAAGAGAATTTGAATTAGAATTTGTTATTTGAAGCCCCACTCTGGCTTTTGCCAGGGGCCGCAATATAGGCAGGTCATCATTATGGCCAAATGTCTGAACGCGGTTTCTGGGACCTCTCCACGGTGATCCTCATCCGCACGGTGGCACTTTGTGTCATCGGGTGTTTATCGCTTGTGTGATGTCCTGGTGGGGTAAAAAACCAATCCAATCCATAATACACACACGCGCTCAGGCACACGCACATAATTTGCAATATACGTTATTTGATTTTTCTAATTATATCCAATTTATTTCGTCCTCTTTAGGACGAAATTTTTTGTTATTTGAAGCCCCACCCTGGCTTTTGCCAGGGGCCGCAATATAGGCAGGCCATAAATATGGCCAATTGTCTGAACGCGGTTTCTGGGACCTCTCCACGGCGATCCTCATCCACATGGTGACACTTTGTGTCATCAGGTGTTTATCGCTTGTGTGATGTGCTGGTGGGGTAGAAAGTTACTCACTCACTCAAGATGCGTTATTTAATGAATTATTATTCTGTCGATAAATAAATGGGCTATTAGAAAATATTTATCTTTGAAATGAAAATTCATTATAACACATGTTCCAAATTAATTAAACTGTAGTTCAATTTGTGTATAAATCTGCTCGATAACAAATATTACCACCGACCAGCCACGCCAGCCTCACAAAAACGGGAATTCCTGTTTAAGCTGTACGGCCTTATATGTGGAGCTGGTCGTGGCAGTAACATAATAGGATACCTAACCCAAGTCCTGGGAGGTAAAGACGGCTTACATGATGCGGACCCCACCACCCATTAAGAGCCCATTGATCTATAAAATATAGGTCTCGTCCGATATGCCCATTTGCTTAAAGGCATTGAAAAATATCCCTTACCTTAACTGTTTACTTATTATAGGACATACAGATTTCGTTATAAGAAAACAAATTCTAATTCTCTTATTGTTCTGAAATTTAATATATGCATCTTTTGTCAAAAATACATGGACACATTCACACACACACACGCACACACACATACGACTAACGTGTATATATATATATATATATATATATATATATATATATATATATAATATATATATATATATATATATATATATATATATTGCAGACCTGATAAAAAGAACTTACCAGGGAACCAAGAAATGGTTCTTCTTATCAGAAATATCTCTTATCCTAAAAAGAGTTAAAGCAATAACAAAGATAAAGAAATTGTTCTTCACAACATAAATTCGCAATATCCGAGATCGCCTTGTGGTTCGTTATATTATTTAGCGATATGACTGCCGCTGTCAGTATATTTCCCCGTGTTTTTTGCTCTCAGTCTAACTTACCGTTTTCTTTGCGAGGCAGTGGACACCTAGGAATGCACTTTTTCTGCATTATAAAAGTGATAATCAATACCTGACACACAAAAAACATGTTTACTGAATGGTGCATATTGTCGGGAAAATATGAAACCCATCAGGGAACAATAGGTCTCTTAATTAATATGTGGATTATCGCCGTGTAGGTTCCGGGATCCCATTGTGGAGAAAGCAACAACAGACCCATTGCTTCTATAGCAAACATGTCGTAGGAGTCGACTAATTAGGGACATTCTTCGATGTCGGTGTGCATCTGCACGCTACATTCAGGTTTTGGAACAAGCTCAAAATTCCGAGGTGGACGAACACCCAAAACTTTCCACTGGAGTTTACAGATGTTGAACGCGAAGAAGAAAAGTAGATATGTTGATCAACAAAATGATGTGTTCTATTTGATAGTATATTAGGCAAGGAAAAGGGGGGGGGGGGGGGTGGTGGGTCAGGCACCATAGTTGACGTGCATAGAGTGGCAAACCAAGTTATTGTCCTCTGTGTATGTGTGTCTGTTCGTGTATGTACGTGTGTGTGTGTGTGTGTGTGTTTAGGGCAAATGTGCCGTGTTTTTAAGCTGAAGTTTTCAGACTGTATAGAAAAAAACAGGATGGGTTTCGGTGCACACACAGACAGGCAGAGAAATGCATGCATAGATAATTAATACTCACAAAGTATTGAAGAGCTTTACTAAAATGGGAATTGAAGGTTCTGAGGAATGGAGGATGTCCCAGAAAAAAACCCTAAAGCGATCGTTGGTGAGAGAGGCTACAGTTTCTGGATTGAATTCCATCCCTGATATCTAATTGATTGGCCAGGTTTGAACACAATGGACGAATAGACTGCTAGCCCTACGTGACATGTAATGGCACAACGGGGCAGTGACGAGGTGGCGTGAGTGTGAGCCATCCAGTTGGAAGGGATTATACTGAGTAAGAGGGGAGTAAAAAGTGGAGTGAGAATGGGAGAAAGAGATACAGGAAAGGAGAAAGAGGTAGGTCCGGGTCGAATGAGGAAATGCCGAGGAAAAGAGGAGTATAAAAAGCAGAAGAGAACAAGGGAAAGAATGAGAGAAGTGAGAAGCAAAGGGGGTCGAGAGAGGGGGAGAGAGAGAGAGAGACAGACAGAGAGAGGGGAAACATAAAAAGAGAAAAGGAGAGGTCAGGCGAGAGAGTGGGAGTGAAAGAACTAGAGATATATCTGGATATAAACATATTCAATATCAAGGTAGTGCAACCCATTCTGGCAAAAAGTAATCCTCCATTTTGGGGTCAAACTGCTGGTAAATTTTAGAATCCTTATCAATAAAATCCCTGTAGTAAACAACAGTTCCCTTAGCCAAGAAGGCCCCCCACCAGGAAAAGGCCCCCAGACTGATAATACTGTGATCCAGCAGACTCATGATGGCCAGGTCCACAGCGGGATCGTGTTGCCCCGTCAGGATCACCCCAGGAAGGCCTAGAAGATTCCCCTGGCACCACTGCAGATCGTCGGTCACCACCAAGAAGACAATGTCCCCTTTCACGTTGTCCCTGAAGTACTTCATGGCACGGATGAAGTATTCCCGTGGAGCTACCCGGTAGCCAAGGTCTACAGCACTCCAGTGCAGCTTGTCCCCTCTCCTGACGTGCATGCCCACCCCGGCAGAGTTTGCGGCTGAGTGGTTGTGGGCTTCCAAGGCACGTTGTATGATGTACTTAGCCTTATGGACAACTGTATCCTGTAATGACAAAAAAACAACAATAGAAAGTCATTAATGATGTTGCTAATAAAAGTTACATTAAGGATGTTACTAATAAAAGTTACATTGAAGATGTTACAAATAAAAGTTGAATTGAAGATGGTATTAATAAAAGTTGCATTGAAGATGTTATTAATAAAAGTTGCATTAATGATGGTATTAATAAAAGTTGCATTGAAGATGGTATTAATAAAAGTTATATTGAAGCTGGTATTAATAAAGGTTGCAGTGAAGATAGTATTAATAAAAGTTGCATTGAAGATAGTATTAATAAAAGTTGCATTAATGATGGTATTAATAAAAATTGCATTGAAGATGGTATTAATAAAGGTTGCATTGAAGATGGTACTAATAAAAGTTGCCTTGAAGATGGTATTAATTAAAATTGCATTGAAGATGGTATTAATTAAGGTTGCATTGAAAACTCTATTATTAAAAGTTGCATTGAAGATGGTATTAATAAAAGTTGCATTGAAGGTGCTATTAATAAAGGTTGCATTGAAAATTCTATTATTAAAAGTTGCATTGAAGATGGTATTAATAAAGGTTGCATTGAAGGTGCTAATAATAAAAGTTGCCTTGAAGATGGTATTAATAAAAGCTGCAATGAAGATGTTGCTAATAAAAGTTGCATTGAAGATGGTATTAATAAAAGCTGCAATGAAGATGTTGCTAATAAAAGTTGCCTTGAAGATGGTATTAATAAAAGTTGCCTTGAAGATGGTATTAATAAAAGAGGAATTAATGAAGAGGAATAGTGTTTACTTCATTTATATTCTTTAATAACCCAGGGCAAAGATGGAAGGGGGAGAGCGAGAGAGATAGATAGATAGATAGAGAGAGAGAGAGAGAGAGAGAGAGAGAGAGAGAGAGAGAGAGAGAGAGAGAGAGAGAGACTGAGGGGGTGGTTGCTTCATTCCTCTGAGCCCGATAAAAAAGATTCAAGAAATAAGTATTGCGGTCACGTGATCGAATCACCCCGATACCCAGTTTCATGTACCTGTAAGTCACCGCATGACCGACCTAGTTCCAAGTCTCCAGTCTGTGTCAAGTCATTTACATTTGACCTGAGCGCATTAGCATAAATCTTTACACGGCTACAGCCGCAGGAGCGCAAGGGCTAACACTACCCCCCCCCCCCCCTCTCCTTTTTTTTTTTCCCCCACTTACAAAATGGTCACGTGCACGCATCTGCGTCGAGCGAATTATTTTTTTCTGTAATTGAATTAACCTCTCAAACCACATCCGCCTAAAATTACTAGTACGATATGTTATGGGAATCAAAGACAGACACGAGACGCTGCGCGCAACATGTATCTAGTGCTGGCTGGGTTGTGAAACAACATTTAGAACAGTCTTTTACTGAACCTTATTTAAAAGAATTCCAGCAATGGATGCTATACTCTCTGCCAAATTGTATATTCAGTAATTCCTCTTCGTCTATGTTCGCCTTGTTGTTGCATATTGAATTTTGCATTAAGAATTGTCATCATAGCACCCAGGGCACTCACATAAGCGCTCCGTCCCCATCATGCGAAGAGTTCCAATTCCTATGACACAAGTAAGTGTCTGATTGTTTATCCGTCTCGCCCTTCTCCTGAGTGTTAAAGATCTGCCAGATCCCCTGGTAACTCCTCCCAGCGCCATTCTCCTACGACCGTAATGATCTGTCTGTTCCTTGGCACTGTTCACTCGCTCCAAGGGGCCCTCACAGTATCTAGCTTGTCACACATCAGTTTACCACCACGTGGTGCAGAGCTGGCCAGTCTATCTTACTGCACATTTCCCAACACACCGGCATAATCTGAAAAAATTATCCAAATGATGCTAACTACCCGGGACCTCTGAAATGATGCTTGCCACTCTGCACGGAGCATGCCTGTCTTCACCTTTCTCAGTATGTTCGCCTTCAAGTGATCAGTTGACACGTTGTGGTTTGCGGCTAGTCTGTGATATGTTAGACCTTTTCAGGATAATACATCTGATTTCCACAAAACAAATCCATCGCCTCTACCACATACTTATTACGGGGTGGTGAATCTATGTTTCCCATAACAAGGTAAATTTCATGGTAATTTTATCTTGCTGCTCTTCTGACTGATGGTATTAAGGCGAAGTATAAACAAGGTGAGAGTGCCCGTTTGAGTGTTTTGTTTATAGATGTTCGTAAAGATTCACTTATCTCCTCCGTCCATTGCGTACACTGTCCCCCTGTCTTGCCATTCCCACATGCTCTGTACAATGTTGTCGTGGTGTTCAGTTCGTTGGCAACCGAGTAATAGCAGTTCGGGCGAAGGCAGTGTGGAACAGAAACACTGTCGATTTTATACGATATTTTATTCGATTTAGTGTGAGTGTGTGTTTATTGGGGGCATGATAGGGGGGGGGGTGGGGGGTGTTTCTGTATGTTTCACAGTTCCAGCGGCAGGGAGTCTGGTTGTTGGTCGGATACACTTGCATGCACATATAGATAAGATAAGAAATCGCACATAAGACAGAGTGGGCGCAGCCGCAAACGCAATGCTGTCCGACCCTGTTTTATTCATCTTTTCGGGCAAAGTGTAGGAATGGATTTCGTTTTTTTTTTTTTTTTTTACTGAATGGTTAGTTGCGTATCCTTTACAGAACGTTGCAGAACAAACTCCAGCAGCTCCTGGCTGTTGTATGGTTTCTCTAAGAAAATTTACGTCTAGTAGTTTGCCATTGCTCACTGGACGGTCGGCCCCCTGATACCACTGTCGAAGCCAACGCAAGGCGCATGGCCTGCAGCTGGGATCAAACCCAGCAACCCGGCGTTACGAAGCGTTTGTATCGACTTAGCCACAGAGCCGACTTAACTGAATGGATCAAACTTTAAATTTAACAGTTTACTCTATTGGTAATTACAATTCTCTTAGCATATAATAATTTTTTTTATATATATATATTTGTTAGGTTTTACACACAAGTAAAACAATAACTAGAAACCATCTGAAGCAGCTTCCACACTAATGTTAGCTACTACCACTTACTGCAACCGAGTTCAACAGCTAAACAATTCAAATAAAATCTAAAGCTGCCACTACTTCCCATCACTCCCCCCTTCCCCCTCCTTTTTTCCCTAGCACCCCCCCCCCCTCCTTTTTTCCCCTTTTTTCCACTCCACGTAACGTTAATATTATTATAAGAAACAGCATTCAATTTCATGCATCCAGTCTGAGAAACAATCAGAAGAAAAAACAACGAATGTTTGGTTATGTTTTCTTTTGCACTCGTTTGGAACTTGACAATGGATATGAGAAGGACATCTGTACACAAATGTTGGGTTGAGGAAAGAACTGACACCACAAGCGCTCCGTCCCCATCTGCAGCAGCAACCGAACAGTTCCAACTCCGATGGTACTAGTATCAGTCTTTTTGTTACTCCTTTGTTGCCTTTCTTCTGAGTGTAGATCATAGTCCTCGGTTAACTCACCTGCATTGTGCATTTTCACTATCATCATCATGTAGGAGGTCATTTGCAGAAACGTCGCTCTCATCACCGTCTGTCTGAAAGAAACTCGGTCTCAGGCCAGCTCTCCCGCCTCGTGTACTTCCATATTAAATTAGTAACTTAAACCCTGTACTCATCTTCGTGTTGGTCGGTCCCTGCCCCTCTTTCCTGGTACCATGCCTTCTATTCACTACCTACTTGTAGCTAAAAGTATCTCCACAGCCACCCACACTGGAGTCAGTACAAGTTCTTCGTAACCGCTTTGTGGTGCCCCAGTATAAATGTGCAAAATGGGTCTAGGGTTACAAGCCGTTTCCCGGGATTTGAACCTGTTAGATGCCCAACCTTGAAGTCTTGACACTGCAGACGGCAATCCTGCAGGGGAAGTTTTTGTTTAAAGTCCCATAGCCGATACTACCCATGGAGTGTCAGTTGTCGTAGACTTTGCATAGTCCTGGCCAGTTTTTTGTCATTTGCTGGTTTGAAGGAAGAAATTAAAGGGATCCATTTTATATCGAATATCAGCTGACAGACAGGTCAAAAACTATGTACACAAGGGAGTTGAATGGTAGCAGACCACGAGGCTGACCGATAAGAGGATGGATATATAACATCCATGCAGGCTAACAAAATGATTAGTGTTCCCAACTGAAAAAAAGAAGACCACCCGGATAGATGATTGGGGGCGGGTGATGTCTGCAGCAATGAACCTCAAGGGTTTGGAACGATGAAGGAGAAAAAGATTTTGCAGATTCTTTTCAAACAGTGTACACTTGATCTTTTCTGTGTAGTTATCTTGATTTGAGCAAAAATGTGTGCAAATTTACAGTCTCTGTTTTAGTACAAGGCCCGACAATTAAGTAATGAGACTAATTTTTTTATGGCTAAGACGAAAATGCCATCTATGATTGGCATCATGGAATCTAAAAAGGACACCTTTGTCTATTATCTGGCAACTTCTCATCGCTGCCTGATAAGCAGACAACAAACAAGCCGACGTTTTGTTAACCTAGTCAAAGGTGCATTGTTGCGTAATCAGCATGCAGCAAAACAGCTGACATTAAATTCTGATTAAAACTCAGAAAAGCGCCATTGCAACAGTCAAATTGATGCGACAAATTTATGGGGATAATTGTTTGTCTCGTGCACTGATTTTCAGGTGGTATTCACGATTCAAAAGTGATGTGGAAATGATTACTAATGCAACTAGACCTTGACGCCCAATTTCTGTTCGTAATGAGGAACTCGTTGCAAAACTCCGAGAACGGTTACAAGCAAATCGTTGTTCGATTCTGAGAATGACAATTCACTGGCTAAAAAGGCGTTAGTTGTATAGAAAATGTCGGCCCAAATACAAGTGTGTGTTCTCAACCATCCACCTTACTACCTAGATTTATCTCACTGTGATTATTTTCTATTTCCAAAATTACAGTCACCATTGAAATGACGCTTCTTTGACGATATTGATAACATCCAAAGGGTCGTAACATCGACTTTAAGGGCCATAACAACAGAAGAACTACAGAGGTCGTTCCAGTGGTTGTTAGATCGTGCCACTTGCTGTATTAATTCACAAGAGGCTTACTTTGAATAAAATACACGTTATATTTTCAACTGTTCATTTTTTAAATTTGTATGGAACTAGTCTCATTATTTTATTGTCAGACTTTGTATGACTATTGACAAGTACAGGATTCGCGCCAGACCTTGGGGAAAATACGCGTCACCTGCAGACCTCATTAATTTAGAGAGTATTATAAGTTATATTGTATGAGTTTGCGTGACACATTAACACTCTCATAGCCTTTCCTTTCTATACATGTCCATAAATCTTTGAACATTATTCGGTTTCTATTTATACACGAAGAATAGTCAATGCGATTTGTCAAAGGAAACGAGAACGATCATTCTCAAGAGTTATATAAATCCTATCCTGATATATGGAAGTGGATCATGGACAGTTAGGCGAGTAATGAAACATTATGTGGAAGCGGCAGAGATGTGGTTTTACAGATACATGATGAGAATACCCTGGGCACATAAACAAGAGCAATGAAGATTTCTTGTTGGAAACTGACTGACAACGGGAACTGATTTTCCTCATCAGAAAGAGACGATCTCCATTCTTTGGTCATGTCATGAGAAGGAGAAAACTGGGGTACGTCGAAACAGTGGGAAAGTTAGAAAAGAGGCAGGAGACTGATAGGAAAGATGCTGAACAGTCTGAGAAGAAGTTATGGAAGATCATCTGTGTCAGAACTGATTGAAAGTACACGAGACAGAGGTTTATAGATGAGAATAACTACCGACGCCACTTGGCTTGGACCATAAGAAGACGTTTGAATAAACCGGAGTCCAAACCAGGACAGTACTTATGGAGAATACACTCTACGTTTATGTGGCATTGAACCCAGACCAATCTCTTAGCAGGTAAGAAGACTCAGACTATACCCTGATGTTCCATGGCGAAGAAGAACAGTAAGCAATTTACAGTTTATTTACCTCTAAGACGATTGCCTTACGAATATCCTCAATGTGATCTTTGAAATATTTCCAGGAATTGAGGACGCCTTCAATCTCGTAGTTTTTACCTCGGTCCAAGTTGGTCAGCTTCTCATCGAATCTGCAACAGGCAATCTCCTTGACATGTACGACACTCCTACACTGGCTCTTTTCAACCTTGAACTTGGTTCCTTTGAGGATCGTCTGCAGACTGAGGTCACCGTTGCCCACGAGTATCCTGTTCTCATTCTGGGAGATGCCCAGCAGGGCTGCGTATTGAAAGAGCAAACTGCCAAGGCCGCCCTCGAACTTGTGGCACAGGATGTGCCTGCCGCTGTAGGTCCTGTCAGCTTTCGGGAGATGTCTGGTGTCACTGGGGACATCTCCTTCCGGGTCAAAGTTCTCCAGGAATACCGGAAGTGAGAGTTTGTAAACAACAATGGTGGTCACGATGAAAAGAATGCAGCTACCGCATCCTATGAACACAATGGAGAAGATTTTAATATGCATGCACATAGAGTAAATGTATTATGACGAGTATTGCATTAAAACGGTGACACGTGTTTGGACAAATACTGCCTTATATTTGTGAATGTATTATCACAAATTTTGCATTATTTGTGTTACGTTTTAGTTTACTTCGTACTGAGAAATGGCATTGTTTAAACAGTGTCGGTATGGAATTATCGAAATGATCGAAACTACACCAGACCAAATGTTCCGGACAGACATGATTACCACATCCATACCTTGTGTGCTAGACGATTAACAAGGAGGGCAATAGTAATAATAAGGAAGAGGAGGGGAGGAGGAGAAGGAGAAGAAAAAAGAAGAAGAAGAAAAAGAAGAAGAAGAAAAAGAAGAAGAAGAAAAAGAAGAAGAAGAAGAAGAAGAAGAAGAAGAAGAAGAAGAAGAAGAAGAAGAAGAAGAAGAAGAAGAAGAAGAAGAAGAAGAAGAAGAAGAAGAAGAAGAAGAAAGAAGAAGAAGAAGAAGAAGAAGAAGAAGAAGAAGAAGAAGAAGAAGAAGATGAAGAAGAAGAAGAAGAAAAAGAAGAAGAAGAAGAAGAAGAAGAAGAAGAAGAAGAAGAAGAAGAAGAAGAAGAAGAAGAAGAAGAAGAGAAGAAGAAGAAGAAGAAGAAGAAAGAAGAAGAAGAAGAAGAAGAAGAAGAAGAAGAAGAAGAAGAAGAAGAAGAAGAAGAAGAAGAAGAAGAAGAAGAAGAAGAAGAAGAAGAAGAAGAAGAAGAGGAGGAAGGAGGAGGAGAAGAGAAGAAGAAGAAGAAGAATAAAGAAGAAGAAGAAAGAAAGAAGAAGAAGAAAGAAGAAGAAGAAGAGAAGAAGAAGAAGAAGAAGAAGAAGAAGAAGAAGAAGAAGAAGAAGAAGAAGAAGAAGAAGAAGAAGAAGAAGAAGAAGAAGAAAGAAGAAGAAGAAGAAGAAGAAGAAGAAGAAGAAGAAGAAGAAGAAAGAAGAAGAAGAAGAAGAAGAAGAAGAAGAAGAAGAAGAAGAAGAAGAAGAAGAAGAAGAAGAAGAAGAAGAAGAGAAGAAGAAGAAGAAGAAGAAGAAAGAAGAAGAAGAAGAAGAAGAAGAAGAAGAAGAAGAAGAAGAAGAAGAAGAAGAAGAAGAAGAAGAAGAAGAAGAAGAAGAAGAAGAAGAAGAAAAAGAACAAGAACAAGAACAAGAAGAAGAAACAGAAGAAGAAGAAGATGATGATGAAGGATGAGGAGGAGGAGTTTCTACCTGCACAGAATAGTGGGAATTTTATGGTAAGATAGAATCATATACGTTGAACTTTGAGAAAGAACTAAACAAATTCCAGTAGACCAAGAGATGAAGAAAAGACGCAGGCATTGGATAGGACACACTTTGAGAATCCCGAAAACAGTCTAATCAGAAAATGCTCTGGGAACGGAAAAGCATTAAAATAAAGGCAGACTGAAAAACACAATAAAAAGGGAGATAGGGATGGAAATTAGAAAGATGGAAAGGAAAGAAAGTCAGCTACATGCAATAGCGAAGGATAGAACAGCTTGGCATGTGTTGGTTGAGGGCCTATGCTCTGTTGCGGGATAGATGGCAGAAGAATAAGAAAAACCGACCACGACATATTTTACAAATTCACAAGTCGCCATAGAGAATGCCCAACGAGATTCTACCATCCAACATTCTCGAATGTATGCAGAAAGACAAACCCAACAGCACCATGTGTGAATATACTGTGTTCTGACCGCAGATCTCCAGTGATTCTATCACCTTGTCGAGATTCTTCTCCTCCACACCTTAGACTTGTTCGACATTTAACGCCACCCGTGTTAAAACCCTACTTTTCTTATTCACAGACGTATCTTACTTAAGATTTACATTATATTCACCATAACTTATCGTAGATATTTTTAACATTATCTTTACAAACTAGAAACCCTACCTTTACATTTGGCACCCATTGACACAGGTAACGAGAATAAACAATTTTAAGAAATAACAACTGATGTCTGCCGTCGTGCACGGATTTCTCCAGAACAAGAAAGAACTTGACACAGCATGCTCAAAGAGCCACGCTCACTGAAATATCTCTGCAACTTCGATTTTTACTGTAATTATCTCAACCTACTTTTGCTGTCTCCCTGCCTTTGTTACCGACAGCGATTCAGTTGTTCTGTTGCCGGAAATGATAGCAATACATTGTTTCTAATTAATCAATGACATAAATAATATATTTATCACTAAGCCACTCTCACCACGGTTTGCATGAAACTCTTACTCTCGCTAGCTCTCCCGCCTCGTGCACTTTCGTATCCCAGGAGTCACTTATATCCTGTGCCCATTTTCGTTATAGTCAGCCCCTGCCCCTTCTTCCTGGTACCATGCCTTCAGTTTATATTTGCCCAATCCGCCGCGGAGCATGATACCGCCAAATTATTTCAGCTTCCGAAACAGGATGTTGTTTATTAGCCACACTTTGTTGATTGACAGATCTTTCATAATGTAAATAAATCCCTCTAAATGACATATCAAAAGCCATTGAACATGTAAGACTCGAGCCTCAGCAATTACTAGTGTTTATGTGGGGAATATCTCGTTAATATTGAAAGAACTGCACGAGAAAGAACGGTAAGGAGGACAAGACTACCAGCGTTATGGGATCTTTGATAACACAGCATGACGATGGTGATGACGACGATAACGATGACGATGATGATGATAATGATAACGTTGATGATGATGATGATAACTATAATGATAAAGACGACAGTGATGACGGGGACAAAAAACCTCACGTAGTAAAACTACGAAACGAAAAGTAGGGCGCCCTCATCAAAAATGACGAAGGTAAAGACAAACACCTGCGTTTTGTTGTAACGACACAATCATGCAGAAGTTGTGGATAGATTGGTTTTGAAATGAAACTCGTTGAAGGAAATTAAAACATAAGACAAGTAACATATGTCAGCAATTTTGTTTACGTTTATTCAACGGATCAACATCATGGCATACTGGTGTAACAGTACTATGAACCTGCCACCTGCAGTACTTTGAACCTGCCATCAGCAGTACTATGAACCTGCCACCTGCAGTACTATGAACCTGCCACCTGCAGTACTATGAACCTGCCACCTGCAGTACTATGAACCTGCCACCTGCAGTACTATGAACCTGCCACCTGCAGTACTATGAACCTGTCACCTGCAGTACTATGAACCTGCCACCTGCAGTACTTTGAACCTACCATCAGCAGTACTATGAACCTGTCACCTGCAGTACTATGAACCTGCCACCTGCAGTACTTTGAACCTGCCATCAGCAGTACTATGAACCTGTCACCTGCAGTACTATGAACCTGCCACCTGCAGTACTTTGAACCTGCCATCAGCAGTACTATGAAGCTGTCACCTGCAGTACTATGAACCTGCCACCTGCAGTACTATGAACCTGTCACCTGCAGTACTATTAACCTGCCACCTGCAGTACTATGAACCTGCCACCTGCAGTACTATGAACCTGCCACCTGCAGTACTATGAACCTGTCACCAGCAGTACTATGAAGCTGTCACTCAGATTCTCATGTTTTTTTTCTTTCTATTAACGGTGCATTTTGTGTGACCGCAATGTTCACTGTCTTCTTTCTGATTGTATTCTTGTACGGATTACTTACTCATTACAGCGTACGTTTAGTTATATTTTTCCTATGTTTTATCACAGACATTTCACTAATTAATTTATTCTCTGTTTAAAGAAGAAAGAAAGAAAGAAAGAAAGAAGGAAAGAAAGAAAGAAAGAAAGAAAGAAAGAAAGAAAAGCCACCTGTAGTAAGAAAGAAAGAACCTGCCAGCAAAGAAAGAAAGAAAGAAAGAACTGCCAAAGAAAGAAAGAAAGAAAGAAAGAAAGAAAGAAAAGAAAGAAAGAAAGAAAGAAAGAAACTCATTACAAGAAAGAAAGTAAGAAAAGAAAGAAAGAAATAAGGAAAGAAAGAAAGAAAGAAAGAAAGAAAGAAAGAAAGAAAGAAAGAAAGAAAGAAAGAAAGAAAGAAAGAAAGAAAGAAAGAAAGAAAGAAAGAAAGAAAGAAAGAAAGAAAGAAAGAAAGAAAGAAAGAAAGAAAGAAAGAAAGAAAGACGTCCAAAAAATAATAGATTGCCAATGTCTAGAATAGCAGAGACGAACTGATACAGCATGTGCACTAACTGAAATGCTGGATGGAAACTGATGTCCTGACATGACTGTGTGAGCTGCTGTTATCTGATCAATGAATCTCGCCGCTAAGTGGAATTTGGTTGGTTGTGTTCTGCTTGGTGCACGCCTCAGTTCAGTGGTTCTCTGAATGGGCAATGTGACTCCACAACATCTTGTTATACAGCAGATGCTTGGAAAAACACCCCACCCTTCACATCCTGTCCTTGGTAGAACGTCTCTCTGTCTCTTATTCCCCTATTGGTTAAACGTCTCTTTCTCTCTCTCTTTCTCTCATTCTCTCTCTCTATCTCTCTCTCTCTCTCTATCTATCTATCTCTATCTATCTATCTATCTATCTCTCTCTCTCTCTCCCCGGCAGACTTTGGTAAAACGTTGCTCTCTTCACTGTCAGCCACGAAGGCTCTTGGTATTTCACTTCTTGTCTCCCTCCTGTATTGTCACTGCATATGTTGTTTATCCAGTCTGTTTGACTCATGTGTGGATGCAATCATTTTGGATCACTCGTAGTAAAAGTTTGAGAACCTCTGTGTTTGTCTACATAGATGGATCTATACACGGTATAAAAGGTCACGGGTAGATCTATATCTCGTGTGTACGTCACAGCTGGATCTATATTATGTGTAACACGTCACGCTGTCTGGCCAGATAGGAGGGAGAGGTGAGGTCTCGGAACAACGAACATCCTGGCTTTACAAAAATGAATTACAGACTGGAACTCATAGAAATTAGAGCCACCCGACTACTGATCCCAAGGTCGTGGGTTCAAATCCGGACCATGCTAGATGTTTTTCAAAAATGACCCTGGCTCCCAAGTTGACCCAGCCTTAAATGCCTGCCAGGTAAAAGTCCTGGGGGGTAAAGTCGGCTTGCGAGACCATACACCCACCGCTTTCACTTACTTCAACTTCCAATGAGCGTTTAGACAGGGCGCTGCTGAAGGTCTCGAGTTCAAGCCCCGGTGAAGGCTAGGATTTTTTCACGTGGACTTCTAGTAATTTCTCCTGGTTTCTGCCGACGTAATCAAAAATCCCTTGCCAGTTGGAAATCGAAAAGAGTAGTCTTAACGGGCAAAAGTTAGAGTTAAAAATCTACCAAAAGTATTTCAGGATCCTCGCTGGTGCATGGGGTTCGTGCACTGTGCTGGAAATTTTCGCACTCAGGCTTGAGTCAGAAGAAAAATGGAGCACTTATGGGTGATACCCTTGAGCCATGATGTTGATCTGTCGTTTAAATCCAGACCTAAATACTTGAGCGTTTACACTAGAAAATCAATAAGAGTAGATGTCAAATAATTATCACACCCTTGCCGATCTGTGAAGTCTTATTAAGAACCGAGTGGGCACACTACTGAGTTTTCATTCAAGGTGACGTGGTTTGAATCTCAATAAGCGGTGGATATCTTTTTTTTTTCTTCTCAGGGCCAAGAAAAGAAAAATGACAGAGGCGGGAAACAGAGACTAAAGACACAAAAGAACTCTAGAAAATGCATAGAAGCAAAATTCATTAAATATAATATGAAAGTATAAATAGTTTTTTTCTTCTTTTTAAAGCAATGTTGGAAAAGTAAGTACTAGTGAATGGATTAGATAAGGCAATTAATAATAACCTATAAACATTCGTTATTGGAGCTTGTTGTGGATAAAACTTGTGTTATGTTATTATAATTGACGTCAATGCCCACTGGGCATTCCCATGCGTGCTCAGTCTTCCGATACAGCAGCCTTTCAAGGCGCCTCTATTGACTGTTCCCATACGGAGTAGGTAATGTCTTCCACATCACCCTCTAAGGCGGTATAGACGTGCTTCACCATGCTTTACTCCCATGTCATGTAGACGTTTTAGAAACAGAGACTGGTCATTATCCATTAACCTAGTCCGTACATAATTAATGATGTCTGCTCTGCCCGAGCTTGTTCCAGCGTTTTTTAGTGCATTGTTAGCCATTTGGTCGACTCCTTCATTACCTTTTACCCTGGCATATACAGTTGTGTAGATCCAAATGACCGAGGAGAATTTCGATTTTTGAATGCTTTCTACAGTAGGTATAAATCTGAGTTACGGAGCTGAGAAAGAGAAATATTAAAATTTAAGAGATTCAACAGCAGAATAGGCCAAGGAGCCAGAGCTGGAGAAAAATAAACCCATGACAAAACTGTATAATAGAACTACCAGACTGCATTGTCACTGAAATATATAGGAGCATATTTATCCTCTTTTTTTCATTCGCGTTCACAGTCAGTAAAATTGGGCGGAAAGATATGGTTGTTCATCCACTTCTGGACTCTAGTCTTGTTCCAGAACCTGAGTGTTGCGTGTACATCCGTTTTACATGTCTCACTCATTTGCATACAGACAGTTCTTTTGCTTCTAATGCAGATGTACTCCGACTTCAAAGGAAGCTCCCAATTAATCGGCTCTTACGACATGTTTTTGGGTACGTCCGGCTGTATATATACAGTCCTGACAACTGAATCACGGTGCATTGTGGTGGAGTCCCCTCGAAAATAGGGTAGAGCAAGCGTTTTCATGTTGCATTGTGTGAGATTTTTAATTTGCTCACAAAGTTCTGTGTTCTAAACGTATTCGTATTACAAATCTACAAACGGATATTGTCAAGTGGATATACAACAATTTTAATTTTAATTTACGGAAGACAGTCGTGTTGTGATGTGTGTGTCACTGTTTCTAGTCAGTAGTTTGGACTTTTGGGAACTGGCTGTTTATTCTCTTTCTACTTTAAATGTAGAAATCTTACTTTTAGGGAAAATACAAACAGGTAATTTATAAGCCATATCTGGAGAATATCGACAATTGTCAGGTGCAACATATCTTGTGTTGGAAGAGAACTATTGCTTTAATATTGACTCTGCATAAATGGTGCAACCACACTGTGGATAAATTGTGTCAAGATATTTCGGTGCTCGAGGTAAGTGGATGAAAATAATATTTAATTTACTAACTAACCTCTCACAGCAAGTCACTCTTTGCCTCTTTACTAATTGTTGACTAACAGTATAATTATATGTTGCAACAGTACACTAATAATAATAATGTTTAACCATTTGATTTATGCTTCGCGAACACTGGCTGTAAACTCTTGCGGAAACTTCTGGTAGTTCATCAATTTTTTTTTGCATATTTGCAGTTGTACGGTCTGTGTTAATTTTTGTAAACTGGCTTTTGCTTTGCTTTGCGAACACTGGCTGTAAACTCTTGTGGAAACTTCTCGTAGTTCTTCGACTTCTTTTGTATATTTGCAGTTGTACGATCTGTGTTAATTTTTGTAAACTGGCTTTTGCTTTGCTTGCGAACACTGGCTGTAAACTCCTGCGGAAACTTCTGGTTGTTCATCCACTTCTTATGCATATTTGTTACCAAAAAAATTATCAATGATAAGGAATTGATTTCATCCAACAAGATGAAACCGGACAAATTTGTTTGTGCTGTTGGTACCTTGAGGATACATATTTAGTAGATCTAGAAGTACTGTTAAGAAAACTACTCTGGGTGAAAAAAGTATTGCACATATCAATTGCATACTGATTGTGCTTGTTTACTAATTATTAAAAAATAGTATAATTATATGTTGTAGTAGTCTACTAATAATAATAATAACCATCAATCATTTATATTTATGTTATGTATGACATGTGTATGTTTCATAGCAGTATTTTTATGCGCTAAATTTGATAAAGTACAAATGTCCCACCCCCCCCCCCTTGCCCCCGCTCCTCTGATGCAACAATACCCTCTCAGAATCAAAGAGTTAGCACTGATATTTCTTTACTTTTGCTGGAACAACTTTTAGTTTACATCTAAACGTTATTGATGTTTATGTTCATGGTGACTGTAGCAAAAGCATTTTTGTTTGTCTGAAAGAGCCTTTATTTTTATATTTAATTGGCACACTTATTTACCTTAAAAATGACGTATAGTTCTAAAAAATATGTTGAAAATTAGTGAAACTGTAGTTTAATTAGTGAATACATCTCCTCGATAAAAACTGTGGACGCAGAGGGACTCAATTCTTGCACAAGAACGGGAATTCCCGTTTGTGCTGTACGGCCTTATAAATCTGGAGCTGGCGGTGGTTTTGGGTAGGCAGTGGGTTCATTCTTGTTTTCTCACACAATGGGGTCCCGGAACCCACACGGGGTAGTAAAGTGATAATGGAAGTCTACAGATACGGAAAAATCAGTATTAAAATATTCATAGGTTGAGGACTAGACAGGAGCAGCAGGAAATAGAAAAAATATGTGCTTGAAGAAAAAGAGCGGATGACCGAGTGGTTAGAACTCTGAGCTCTCGCCCATTTTAACTCGGTTTGATCTTCGGTAATGACTGGAGATTTATTTCTGCCAGAAGCTGTATCAGCATCTTAACCTGCAAAGTTTTTGGCGACCCAACCTGCAATGCGGACAGAAATTATCAGGTTCATGTTTTAAGCGTTGTTCTGCCATGTATGAATGCATTTACTAAGTGTGCGATGTAGGCAGTGGGATCTTAGAGCCTTTGGATTTAGGGTTCCATGGCTAGCGCTGTCGTCACGCTTTGTGCTTATTGGAATTTTATCTTTGCATCGATAGGGAAAAAAAAATCCGCAATTTTACCAGAGATTCAAACCCAGATCTCGCGCATGAGCACCAAATGTTCTTAACTGTTGAGCCACCGGCTCATTATTCTACACTGCTAACAACAGTAAATGCGGACAGTAACAACAGAGCACTGTCTGAATGTGTCAGTTCGATCAATGACAAATAAAACATACAGAGGGCAGGTTCAAAAAATATTTTATTCAAAACAAAATGGAGGCAATGCATGACAAATTACAATCCGAATGTCTATCAACCAACAAGCCTGCGTATAGAATCTCTCAAACAAAGTAACAAGCACGCATGGCTCCCGAATTGTGTGACACAGTTGTTGATACACTTACCTTAATTTGCTAATCTGGCTGGTAAATATAGTTTAATAACTAGGTCGAGGTACTTTAAGACAGAAATCTCTGTCTAAAGGTACCACCACCAAGGTACGTAGTAATGTTTGTAGAGCAGTCTTGTTGTTGTCTCTGTTGGTAGGGAACGCAAGTTGACGTTCGTTGTATTGTTGACCACTTCCAGGGACGACAGAGCTGACAGGTAATTTATAAAGGTGTTTTCTGTCTGTCTCTGTCTGTGTGTCTGTCTGTCTCTATCTCTCTCTCTCTCTCTATCTCTCTATCTCTCTCTCTCTCTCTCTCTCTCTGTCTCTGTCTCTCTGTCTGTCTGTCTCTGTCTCTCTCTGTCTGTCTCTCTCTCTGTATGTCTCTCTCTGTCTGTCTCTCTCTGTGTCTGTCTCTCTCTCTGTCTGTCTCTCTCTCTGTCTGTCTGTCTCTCTCTCTCTCTCTCTCTCTCTCTCTCTCTCTCTCTCTCTCTCTCTCTCTCTCTCTCTCTCTCTCTCTGTAGTACCGTTTTCTGGACCAACAGTTAGTAAAAGGATATATGGTTTCGTCTGTTATGTCTCCTCAGGATCTTTCTCTCTCGCTCTCTCTATCTTTCAGTTTCCCTCTGTATACATCTATTTCTCTTTCTCTCTCTCTCTCTCTCTCTCTCTCTCTCTCTCTCTCTCTCTCTCTCTCTCTCTCTCTCTCTCTCTTATCTCTACCTCTTCCACTTTCTTTCTTCTCAATTTTCCCTTTCTCTTTTTTTATGTCTTATCTCTTTCTTTTTTATTTGTTCACTTTTTCCATTTCTCTGCTTCTCTGTATTAACTCACTTTTTACTATTCTCTCCTTTTTCTCCTTGCTTTGCTGCTTTTTTTATATTTCTCTTCTCAATGCCCTCTCTCTCTCTTTCTCTCTCTCTCTCTCTCTCTCTCTCTTTCTCTCTTTCTCTCTCTCTTTCTCTCTCTCTCTCTCTCTCTCTCTCTCTCTCTCTCTCTCTCTCTCTCTTTATGTCTGTTTCTGTCCGCCTTCCTCTCACTTTCACGTACACACAGAAACACACATACTCTTTCTCTGTCCTATTCTCTCTCTTCCAGCTCCTGTTCTCTTCTGACATTTGCACGTTCGCACAAATATATACACGCACACACACGTGTGTGTATGTATGTATTCATGTATGTATGTGTGTGTGTGCTTGTGTATGTGTACATATGCGTATCTGCGTATGGAAGTTATATGTCTAGCTCACTAGCTCTTGTGGGTCCTATAGTCACATGTTGAAATCCACATCGATGTGATACAGTTTTACAAATCTACCATTTAATGTTGGCTGGCAATTTTTAGATACGAGAATATCGAAGTCAGGGAATCACAAGAGATGAGATGGTTTGACCATCTGGCGAGAATGCACTTGCACCAACTGCCACAGCAAGTAAATAAGTAACTACAGACAAACTTATACAGAGCATTGGAAAAAGCATACTGAAGATTCTCATCCCCCCAACATCCCCTTCTAATAGTTCAGGTAGTACCTGGTCCTTACCCACACAGGACTGGAGGTGACACATGGGCAGTGTCACTGTTACGGATACCGTAATTATAACTTCTTTAAAGATTGAACGGGGTATCTACTTTGTTGATCTGCCGTGCAGACTAAGATTTGTTTCTTTAAATCCTAGGGAAGGTGGTAAGGTAAACTTTTTTTTTAGCAGCAGGCACTGCATAAACCATATGATCCATCATACAGTAACTGGAGCAAATGAGGTCGGATAAGACCAAGAAATGTTCAGGAAAGTGACCGGATGTTAAGGCTGGTATGACCTTGACCGTCTCACTTACTGAGTGCCAGTTTCGCCGAACTACAAAAGGGCTTCAAGTGAAAGCTTTAAAGGTGTTATATAACTTGCACTAAACATTACATTGTCTTGTAATCTTTCCCTATTGTTTTTAAGGATACCAAGAGTCTTAATCGCGTGAGATCATTATGCGAAGGAAAACTATGACGTCATAAAGATGCCGCCCACTTTCCGCATGCACCAGAGAGGAGCTGTGTTATATTTCCAATGTTGTTGTTGTTTGGTTTAAATCGGTGAAGGGTGAATTCTATAGAATTTTATCAGAGAATGAAGATTCAATATGATGATGTATGGTTATTGTATTTGCTATAAACCTTTTAAGCTTTTCATCTGAAGCCCATTTTAGATCGACAAACTCGAGGGTGCTGTAGCAGGCGTACTCATCAAAGATTTTGAAGTTTGGGGGAAGGGGGGCGAACTCCAGCAAATGTCTTCTGGAAGGATTAGTTCTTTACTAGCAAAGGATCCAATTTAGCTTCAATGATCAACACTTGATTCCTTCACTGAATGCCGCACAGGACATGGAAGAGAAGTACCAGTTTTGAAATCAAGAAGCATTTTTTTTTTTTTTTTTTTTTGGGCACAGAATAGCCAAATAAAATAACTATATTAGAAATATGCAGTATAAAGTCAAGAAGCGCTATCGTTACAAAGGATAAGCAAATAGAGATCGCAATTATAACCGAACGTTTTCATGAACTGATTCAAAGAGACTGAAACTTGTTTCCGTAAATAAGCAAGCCAGTAAAATAGAACGGGCAACTGCAGACTAACTAATTCTGCTCCTTAATGTCAAATTGGTTTGGCAATGACCAGATGAGCCACTGGTCGGATGCCAGTAGAGCTTGTTATTTAGTGATTTCTTTCGTTTGTATCTGTCTAGTCTTGCATGCTATTACCGTCTATGTGTCTATTCAGAACAGGATGACATTTTCAGACGAGGGCGCTCTCGTGGACGAGGTGCTGATCTCCCTAAGATGGTGGGGGCCCTACCAACAGGTCCAGTTTTACCTCCTCATGATACAGGTGGTCCCTTGTGCTTTTCACGCCATGTCTGTTGTGTTCCTGGGTGAGTGAAATCTAACGTGTGGCTTGATGATATCTTGGTCATGTAATAACAGATAACGCATTCATTCATTATCCTGTCTTTGCTGTTATATGTCAAATATGATTTGCAGTCAATTTCTTCTCTCCGTTCTGTCCTGTGCAGTCTTCTTCTTTCTTCTCTCTTCTCTACTCCTGTATTGTCTCGATATCTTCTTCTTTCTTCTCTCTTCTCTACTCCTGTATTGCCTCGATATATTCTTATTTCTTCTCTCTTCTCTATTCCTGTATTGCTTCGATATCTTCTTCTTTCTTCTCTCTCCTCTACTCCTGTATTGCCTCGATATCTTCTTCTTTCTTCTCTCTTCTCTACTCCTGTATTGCCTCGATATCTTCTTCTTTCTTTCTCTCTTCTCTATTCCTGTATTGCTTCGATATCTTCTTCTTTCTTCTCTCTTCTCTACTCCTGTATTGTCTCGATATCTTCTTCTTTCTTCTCTGTCCTCTACTCATGTATTGCCTCGATATCTTCTTCTTTCTTCTCTCTTCTCTCTTCTCTATTCCTGTATTGCTTCGATATCTTCTTCTTTCTTCTCTCTTCTCTACTCCTGTATTGTCTCGATATCTTCTTCCTGTATTTTCTTCTTCTTTCTTCTCTCTCTACTCATGTATTGCCTCGATATCTTCTTCTTTCTTCTCTCTTCTCTACTCCTGTATTGCCTCGATATCTTCTTCTTTCTTCTCTCTTCTCTACTCCTGTATTGCTTCGATATCTTCTTCTTTCTTCTCTCTTCTCTACTCCTGTATTGCCTCGATATCTTCTTCTTTCTTCTCTCTTCTCTACTCCTGTATTGCCTCGAGGCATTAGAGCAGGAAGATGCCTCTGTAACGGAACATGCTTTTTGCTTCGTATACTGTCCCTTTCATTCTAATCGGTTCGAGAGATCTTTTTATTTTCACGAGCACTAAGTAAGCCACGGTCAGTTTGCTGGAACAGTCACGAGAGCTTTCAAACTTCCTAGAAGGTCACACTTGAATTAGACTATCACATTCCGAGTATTGTAACACAACTTCCACTCCAGAATGTCCGAAACTGACCCCAGTTAGATGCTGGTCGAAAAATCAACATCCTCTGTGATATCATGGATGGAATGTAGTCTACAACCTTTGACTTCTCCCATCAACATCCGCATTCAGATTTCGTTTGGACGTCCTGGTTTCTTCGATCCCTTTTTTTTCCAGTCGCAGTGCCTGTTTGGTAAACCTCTGTTCGTCTCTTCTCAGAGTGCATCCAGCATAGCGTCATCTCATCTTTTTTTTTTAACTGTTGATAAACAAGTGGCTACTCAGATATTTATATTATTTCTTCGCCCCTCTTCAATACATCCCATTATATTTTCTTCATTGTCCTGAGGCATTTGTTTATGAATGTATTTAACTTTCGTTCCATGTCTCTATTGGTTCTTCACCTTTCACTGGCACAAGCTAAAACAAAAAAAAACCTTAGAAATGCAAATACGTAACTTGGTTGTAAAGCTACATAGTTTAGTTCAAATAACAGACAATAGCAGACGTGAAAAAGAAATTTAAAGAAGAATTACAAAATATTTTCAAGAGAGTGCGAAAAAAAACTGACATTTAGAGAGATGAACTACGCATTAAAAGTGAGAATTGTTAAACGTTGTGTTCGTTTCAGCCTTTCTGTATTGAGGAGCAGCCATGACACTAAACAGACAACTAGAAAATCAAGCCGTCTCTGGAGTTATGGATGTACATATCAACAAAAATAGTCAAATATAGGGGTTCCTAGGACGAATAAAAAAGTTGTTAAAGAAAATTACAAAAATAGACAAGTGAACGATTTCGGCAATATTAGAAAACATAACGCTCTCACAGAAACCACCCTAGAGGGAAAAGTTCAAGGAAAGGAAGCAAGGTTCAATAAGGAAGCAAGGTGCATTCAGCGATATGTGTGGGATGAAAATAATAAGAGATGGACAAACTGCAGTCTGGGTGTACATCAAGGCAAAAGAAAAAGATAAATCGATTTAATAAATGAAACACCAAATCAATGCGACAGTAAATTGTTTATTTCATTGATTGGTTGACAAATGGTCGATCGATAGATAAGTTGATTGATTGATAGATGTGTTTATTCTTGATTGGCTAATTTATTAGTTCATGTGCTGGTTAGGTGAGAAAAAAGTTTTTTTTTTTTTTTTAAGAATTCGAAGGTTTTTTTCGTGAGCTGATTATTTGATTAGTTTTTTTTTTATTCATAGAGGAGTTCATTTTGTAGTCTAATCAATTAGTTCTTGTTTCTGATTGGTTGACAGATAAGTTCATTTTTGATTGGCGGCCAATTAACTAATGTGTTGATTAGTTGATTTATTGATAGAAAAATTCCTACTTTGTTTGCTGATTAATTAGTGTGTGCTTTGATTGGTTGATTAATTAGTTGACTGAAAGGTGATTGGTTAATTTGTTTTCCTTAGGGGATTTAAAGATCGATTAGTTTGGTTTTTCTTCCTTACTTTATTGATTAGTTCTCTTTGATTTGTTGATTTACTTTTTCAGTTGATGAATGCTGATTGGTTTATTACTTTCTCTCTCTCTCTCTCTCTCTCTCTCTCTCTCTCTCTCTCTCTCTCTCTCTCTCTCTCTCTCTCTCTCTCTCTCTCTCTCTCTCTCTCATTTGACTGGTTGCTCACATTAGGGGGTTTTTGTTTTTTGATTGGATAGACGGGCTGGTTGACAGACGGAAAATTAAACCAACATCACACATATTTCATGATATTTTACAGGTAAACCTATGAAGCACAGATGTGCACCTGTAGCAAATCTGACAATTGCACTCCAGGAAAACGGCATCTTCAAGGAGTACGACGTTATTGGTAACCAGTCACCCTACAACTTGACCGTGTCGTACGAGGCTTGCAGCATCGATGTGAGGAATGGAACTGATCTGCTCTACTCGACAACCTGTGTCGCTGGTTACGAATACGCCGATCCCATTGACCAATCTTTCGTGTCCGAGGTGAGATCCTTCTGACCCCAATACTTCCTCTGTACATCAGTTCATCCTCTGACCCTAATACATCCGACATTGATAAATAATTTACATTCCTCAAACAAGCTGATGGGTTTAAGTACTTGGGTCAAAAAGTTCAATGTAGAAAAGCTCTAGCAAAGACAACATTCTGAAAAATGAAAATATTTTATGCAATCTTTCTTAGTTAACTAGGACGAAAAAAAGAATTATCAAGAACTGTATGAATCTTTTCCTGATTTACGGAAGTGAATCATCAACAGCTGGACGATGAGTGAAGAATTATTTGGAAACGTGGATATTTGATTTTATAGGTCAATAATGAGAATACCCTATACCAGTAGTGCACAAACTCTTTAGTCGAAAGAGCCAAAAAACAGCAGCAGGAGGATTACAAAAGATTTTTAGAACCACATTGTTTTTTAAAGAAACTGTCAAGAACCTTGTTTTTCGGAGTCAAACCCGATCTCTGGCGACTGGGCGAGCCACACTCAGCTCGTTAAAGAGCTCAATACGGCTCGTGAGCCGCGATTATCCGGCCACTGCCCTAGACAACTGTTGTTGTGTTTTTTTTTTTTTTTTTTTTTCAAGTAACGAAGATGTCATAAAAGAAACTGACTCACATAGAGCACCGATTATCCACATCGGACAGAGAAAGTTTAGATACGTTGGTCATGTCACGACAATGTGAAAACGTGACAATAGAACAGTTGGAGAGGAAAAAAGGGCAGGAGAAAATCGAAAGAGAAGATGTCGGACAGTTTGAAGGCTTTGTATGTTAGAAGTGACTGAAAGTACACGAGACAGAAGGTTGTGGATAGACATGACTACCAACAGCCTCATACTCTTATCGAAGGGGATCTGTACTTAATAGAGGATCAACTAATGTTGGTGGAGGTAACATCGTTCCTTGTGGTATCCACAACGGCATCCACTGACCTGGATGTGCTTGAGAAAAATGTTAAATATATAATGGTATCAATTCAAGCGGGTTGAAGAATAGAGAGAAATGCCTGAGCAACCAGGGGTAAAAACAGTTAAAAGTCGAAGAAGATGGCGCTAAACTCGACACATTCTGAGAAGAAGCAAGCAAAGAATCAATAAACAGGAAATACAGTGAGAAATACAGGGATTGAGGAAACTATAAAGTAGAAAAGAAACCCTAAAACGAGCGTTAATAAGAGAGCCCAAAGGTGCTGGGCTGGATTCCATTTATAGTACATAAGAGATTGCGCAGGATAGAACGGAATGAAGGAATACCAGTCCTGTGTGACGTTTAATGGTATGACGTGATAATGATTGATCAATTTCTGCATAATCTTCATAAAAAGTCGGGAAAACCCAAAAGTACTCTGAATGTTCCTAAGCATGATTTTATCGTGTTTACGTTAACGACGCATGTTTTGTATTGTTGAAGCGACTGTGATATTAAATATTAGAAATCATAATGCATGATCTGCTGCCACAAGCGACAAAGTTATTGACAAATGAGTAGATCTGCAGTATACTCTCAGGTACCTTTCCTGAAAGTGCATAAACTAGTACGATAGGTACAAGAGGCTCCGCCAAATAAATTTCTTGCAAAACATAATCCGGCAGCCGAAAAGTTGGGAACCATTATTACAGACCAATCGGCTGTTGGCAGGTAATGAGGTCATTACTCCATAGGACATTTCCTAATACACTTTAGGCTGTGGTGCACACTTTGAGCTGCGTCGACCTGGGAGCCAAAGTCAGCTTTAAAGGGGAAAAATCACTTGCAATGCGGATTCGAACTTGAGACCGTCTGACCTGTAGACCAGCGTTTATCCTCTATGCCACAGTGGCTTCTAATGTTTTTACTGCCTATGGATTTATTATATTTCTTGGGCAAGCAACGCCTTACTTCTTCACCACCAAAGATCGCCTTACTACTACACCCCCTAAGGCCGACTTACTACCACACCACCAAAGGCCGACTAACTACTATACCACCAAAGACCGACTTACTACTACATTACCAAAGGTCGACTTACTACCACACCACCAAAGGCCGACTAACTACTATACCACCAAAGACCGACTTACTACTACATCACCAAAGGCCGACTTACTACTATATCACCAAAGGCCGACTTACTACTGCACCACCAAAGACCGACTTACTACTGCACCACCAAAGACCAACTTACTACTGCACCACCAAAAACCAACTTACTACTGCACCACCAAAGACCAACTTACTTCTAAACCACCAAAGACCGACTTACTACTGCACCACCAAAGACCGATTTACTACTACACCACCAAAGACCGACTAACTACTACACCACCAAAGACCGACTTACTACTACACCACCAAAGACCGACTTATTACTACACCACCAAAGACCGACTTACTACTGCACCACCAAAGACCGACTTACTACTGCACCACCAAAGACCGACTTACTACTGCACCACCAAAGACCGACTTGCTACTGCACCACCAAAGACCGACTTGCTACTACACCACCAAAGACCGACTTACTACTGCACCACCAAAGACCGACTTACTACTACACCACCAAAGACCGACTTATTACTACACCACCAAAGACCGACTTATTACTACACCACCAAAGACCGACTTACTACTGCACCACCAAAGACCGACTTACTACTGCACCACCAAAGACCGACTTACTACTGCACCACCAAAGACCGACTTACTACTGCACCACCAAAGACCGACTTACTACTGCACCACCAAAGACCGACTTACTACTACACCACCAAAGACCGACTTATTACTACACCACCAAAGACCGACTTATTACTACACCACCAAAGACCGACTTACTACTGCACCACCAAAGACCGACTTACTACTGCACCACCAAAGACCGACTTACTACTGCACCACCAAAGACCGACTTGCTACTACACCACCAAAGACCGACTTACTACTACACCAACAAAGACCGACTTACTACTACACCACCAAAGACCGACTTACTACTGCACCCCCAAAGACCGACTTACTACTGCACCACAAAAGACCGACTTACTACAACACCACCAAAGACCGACTTACTACTACACCACCAAAGACCGACTTACTACTGCACCACCAAAGACCGACTTACTACTACACCACCAAAGACCGACTTACTACTGCACCAACAAAGACCGACTTACTACTACACCACCAAAGACCGACTTACTACTACACCACCAAAGACCGACTTACTACTGCACCACCAAATCCGACTTACTACTGCACCACCAAAGACCGACTTACTACTACACCACCAAAGACCGACTTACTACTACACCACCAAATCCGACTTACTACTGCACCACCAAAGACCGACTTACTACTGCACCACCAAAGACCGACTTACTACTACACCACCAAAGACCGACTTACTACTACACCACCAAATCCGACTTACTACTGCACCACCAAATCCGACTTACTACTACACCAACAAAGACCGACTTACTACTGCACCACCAAAGACCGACTTACTACTATACCACCAAAGACCGTTACTACTGCACCACAAAAAGACCGACTTACTACTGCACCCCCAAAGACCGACTTACTACTGCACCACAAAAGACCGACTTACTACAACACCACCAAAGACCGACTTACTACTGCACCACCAAAGACCGATTTACTACTGCACCACCAAAGACCGACTTATTACTACACCACCAAAGACCGACTTACTACTACACCACCAAAGACCGACTTACTACTACACCACCAAAGACCGATTTACTACTACACCAACAAAGACCGACTTACTACTACACCAACAAAGACCGACTTACTACTGCACCACCAAAGACCGACTTACTACTATACCACCAAAGACCGTTACTACTGCACCACAAAAAGACCGACTTACTACTGCACCCCCAAAGACCGACTTACTACTGCACCACAAAAGACCGACTTACTACAACACCACCAAAGACCGACTTACTACTGCACCACCAAAGACCGATTTACTACTGCACCACCAAAGACCGATTTACTACTGCACCACCAAAGACCGATTTACTACTACACCACCAAAGACCGACTTACTACTGCACCACCAAAGACCGACTTACTACTGCACCACCAAAGACCGACTTATTACTGCACCACCAAAGACCGACTTACTACTGCACCACCAAAGACCGACTTACTACTGCACCACCAGAGACCGACTTACTACTGCACCACCAAAGACCGACTTACTACTGCACCACCAGAGACCGACTTATTACTGCACCACCAAAGACCGACTTATTACTGCACCACCAAAGACCGACTTACTACTAAACCACCAAAGACCGACTTACTACTGCACCACCAAAGACCGACTTACTACTAAACCACCAACGACCGCTGAACATTACTGTAAATATATTGATATGCATCAGTCAGTTTCATGTGTGTTTGTTTGTTTGTTTGCAGTTTGACCTGGTGTGTGATCGAGAAGCGTTCTCTGACTTCTCTCAGACCATGCTGGCTTTTGGGATGATGGTTGGAGCTTTCGGTTTCTCGGCTCTAGCAGACAGGTATTGAGCTCTGGAAGCCACGTAACACGGTGGCTAGACGTGTGGGTGTCGGCAGAAAGGTTTTTAAGTTCCAAACCATAACGGGAGGGATTTTTACAAAATTTAAGGCTCCCATGTTTATCTGGCCTTTAATGTGCATCAGGAAATTCTTTGGAGGTAAAGACGGCAGGTCTGTAGTTGAATACATCACTTACCGAGTGCCGATTGGCCTATAAATTATAAGTCTAACATCGTGTACCGAATGTAGTAATGGCACGAGAGAAAGCCCTATACTTTACTTCTAAATGTAGTTTTATTCTCCGTCAGAGGCCTGCGTGGCTACGGATGTGCTGCGGGTGATGATAGTGGTAGTGTATGTTCCTAATGAGATGGCTAGTTAGAGGTAATTGCTTTTGTAGAAGCAAAACAAGAAGAGAAAAATAGCTATGCTTAGGTGTTGCACAAAGGTGAACAACCTCAGGGATGTGATCTCCTGAAAACATTAACTATAGAGCCGTGTAGACGTATCATGGTCGAGGTGTGTGTTACAGGAGCTCATAAAAGAGCTTGATTTGGAACTGGTTAACGCCTTTAGGCAACTATGAGGCCAATGAGTGGGTGGAGATTTTTAGGCACTCCGGATTGTTGTGGCGCGGTATGAGCCACCTGTGGGGTAAACTACTGGTTCTTTTTTTGTAGTTCCATTGAAAGTCAATGTCTATACTCTGACCTTGTTAGATGTTTTTTTTTTTTTTTTAGATAGACACTGTGTCATGGTGTTGCATATCAGCCATTATCTTTAGGGCAGTAAACACTTCATGACATTCTGTGTCATAGATACAATCAATGAATGGATAAATCAAGATTTAGAATAACTGGACTTCAGACATTTCCGTAAATGCTCCAAACGTTCGTTCAGTAACCAATAAAAAGTTTCCATAGTTACGGGGCAAGTTGCAACCTGATTAAAAGTTCGCCTTTTTTGCATTGTTGAACTTGACCCTAGAGTGACCCTCCCCTTGTCCGCTGTATCATCATGACATAGCTCCCAGCATGTAGCCAATCTTTTAGCCTGTTTTTACCACGCTCACTATAATGCATATCGTATGTTCTCCGTAAACATACTAGAGCTAGAAGAATATACTATCTGCTGTGGTAAAGACATGTATAGTCTCCTTCTTGTTTACCGACTGTAAACACTGGCGGACAGTTCTGGTTGCTCGTCCATTTCTGGGCTCTAGTCCTGTTGTAGAACCTTAGTACTACATTATCATATCAAGTGCCTTGCCAGCCGAAGTAGGCATTCGTGTATCTCCACAGATCTCGGTCTTTGGTGTACTGGATCCATTTCACTGATGATATTCCTCCACGCCACAGTCCTAAGCCATCCACAATCATTCCTTTTGGTCTGCCTCTGCTTCTTCTACTAGTGATCTTTCCAGTCGTCGCGATATTTTCTAGTGCTATTTTTTTCATCACATGACCAAAGAACTTTGTGTGTCTCCTTCTCAGTGTTGTAATAATGTTCTACTTTCGCCATTTCCAGACAATCATTTTGAATTATTATTGCAAGGTGTTCCTAACATTGTTCTCCAGAACCACATCTCAGTTGCCTCAAAAGTGTTCTTAACGTGTTTGCTTACATTCCAAGATTCACTACCAGACAACAAAACAGGCTCGATATAAAACTCGTTTTCTGACGTTTAATGAGAGTGATTTATTCCGTAAGATACTTTTCATCTTCTGAAATGTTGACTTTGCCTGACAAATTCTGCTTTTAATTGCTATCACACATCGTCTATCTGATGTTATAAATGTTACCAAATACTTGAATTTATGGACTTGGTTAATTAAGCACTTTTCCCTTTACTGTTATGTCACATTTTGGAGTTATTTTCTTCTTTGAAATAAACATTGTTTCTGTTTTCTTGATATTCAAGGAAAGTCCCTTTATTGCACTTTCTAGTACCATAATGTCAATTAGTTTTTGTTTTCTTGATATTCAAGGAAAGTCCCTTTATTGCACTTTCTAGTACCATAATGTCTATTAGTTTTTGTAGGTCTTCTGCATTTTGAGCTATTATTACTTGATAATCTGCACAACTAAGATTCTTTATATTAAAACCTCCAACTAGTATTCCTGGTCTGTCCTTTACCTCCCTCATTTTTATTTCACTAAAGAGAGAGGAGAGATCCGGTGACAAAACACATCCGTGTTTCACTCCTTGCTTTATCCGTTTGTAACTGCCAACTTTATTTCCCAGTTTGATTGCTGCTTCTAGCTTCCAGTAAATATTTTTTTTTTATTATTCTGAGATCTTTTCCATCAATATTAATATCATATTTCACTTTATCAAAAGCTTTGGTATAATCTATAAAGCCCACATATATGTCTTTCTGTTTCTCCATTGATCTCTCTACTAATGTTCTCAGTGTGTACATTGTATTATTTGTACTTTTCTCTTCTACAAAACCATACTGCTCTACACTAATTTCCATTTTCATTTTTTTTTTCTTGTTCTTCTCATTATAATTCTGAGTAGTGCTACAAGCAAATCCGTTTTACAGATCTGGCTCCCTTGTTTGCAGACTGTTAGTTCCTTGCCTTTCAGGCAGATACACTCCGACGTCAAAAGAAGCTGGCAATTAGTCGACTCCTACGACATGCATTCATTTAAGCAATGGGTCTATTCTGGTCCCCCCCCCCCCACCCCAATGGGGTCACAGAGCCGATACACAGAAAACATGTACAGTAAACTGTTTGGAACTCAAATTGTTTAAAAACATAATCAATCTTGCTTTTTGACTTCCCCGTTCACGTTATTTTTCTATAAAGCCAAATCTGTGCAGCTGTCAAATATATATTTTCAACGGTTGAGTTGAGTCAAGAATTGTCATCACAGCATTCCCATACGCGCTCCGTCCACATCCTCAACAGCCAGCACAGAATTCCAATACTAATGGTGCCGGTCGCAGTCTGGTTGTATGTCCGTCTTGTCTTTCCTCTGAGAGTAGTGTGAAAGACAAACCCTCTGGTCCCACACAGGTGGATCATTCTCTCCAGCCCATAATAATCTAGTTTCTCCTCTGACTTTGTTACTGGTTCCCAAAAGGCTCTGATCACATCTGCCTCGAATCAATTCACCACCCAGTGGTGCAGTGCCAGCCAATCTGTCTGCATGTTCATTCCCCACCACGCCAGAATGAGCTGGAGAAAAGATCCAAAGTATGCTCACTACCCGTGACTTTAAAAGTGAAGCTTGTCATTCTGCTCGAAGTCATCATGTCTTCACCTTTTACAGCATACTTTCAGAGTCCGTTACAAGTACGACATGTGTATGTATCTTGTTCTCTAGCCACCGGAGAGCTGCAGTGGGGGATGCAGTCTAGCTTTACAATGTGATGTATGTATTTCTGTGCAAAAGATTAACTTCACGACTGATTGCATGTTGATTTGATTCTGTAGTAACGCACCTGGGGAGATACAGTAAAATATATCAGGCAATAAATTATCTAATGTATTGCTCGTGTCCGCGTTATTTAAATTATTTTATTATTTATTCCCAGGTTTGGGAGAAAACCCATCTACGTCGTCAGCCAGGTGCTGTTACTCCTTGTTCGCCATCGCCCTCGCCTTCTCGCCAAACTTTACAGTGTACGCCGTGATGAGGTTTCTTCTCGGCTGTTTCCAACAGGTTTTTTGTGCCTGGCTTTACATCACTACAGCCGTGTGAGGTGTGCGTGCGTGTGTGAGAGAGACAGAAAGAGAAAGATAGAGAGAGAGAGCATGTGTAAGTTACTTATACTTTTTTTTTTTGCTTGGGGGAGAGGGGGGGGGGGGGGTTGATTTATTCATTGATTTTATTATTTACTAATTTTTTTGTAAATACATTTACATCTATGAATTGATCAACTATTTAACTGTTTTTATTCCTAAAAGATCAATTATTTATTTGACTTATTATTTGACTGATTCTTTAATGATCTTGTGACTGATTGAATAATTGATAGATAGACTGACGGTTGACTGACTGTTTAAATGATTGATGGATGGATTTTGGTTGGTTGAAGGACTGACAGACTGACTGACTTTCTACCCCACTAGGACATCACACAAGCGATAAACACCCGATGACACAAAGTGCCACCATGTGGATGAGGCTCGCCGTGGAGAGGTCCTAGAAACCGCGTTCAGACAATTGGCCATATTGATGGCCTGCCTATATTGCGGCCCCTGGCAAAAGCCAGGGTGAGGCTTCAAATAACAAAAAAATTCGTTCTTAAAAGGACGAAACTAGAGATTTTAACACATGGGTTGAATGATGGTTTAAGTCACTGATGTATAGACTGATGGTCGGTTGATTGACTAAACTATGGATGGATTGATGGTTGATTTATTGATTGATTGATTGAATGATTGATGTGCTGATGGTTGATTGATTGATTGATGTACTGGGGGTTATTTAATAGCTTGATTGATTGAATGATGGATGGATGTACTGATAGTTGTTTGATTGATTGATTGAATAACGGATGTACTGATGGTTAATTCATTGATTGATTGATTGAATGATGGATGGACTGGCGGTTGGTTGATTGATTTATTCAATGATGGATGTATGTACTTTTTTGATTAAATGATTGATAAATGGAGTGACGGTTGATTGCTTGTTTAAATGATTGATGGCTGGATTGAAGGTTGATTGACTGATTAATAGATTAAATGATTTTTGGATGGGTTGAAGGTTGATTGGTTGTTTTAATGATGGATGGACTGATGGTTGGATGATTGATTGAATGATTGATGGATGGACTGACAGTTGATTGATTAAATGATTGATAGATTGATTGATGGTTGGTTGATTGATTATATTATAAATGTACTGATGGTTGATTTGCTGACTTATTGATTAAATGATGTGTGTACTGATAGTTGACTGATTGCTCGATTGATTGAATAGTATATGGATATACTGATAGTTATTTGATTGATTAAGTAGATGATGGATAGACTGATAGTTGATTAACTGATTAATTGAATGATGGATGTACCAGTCAGTGGATGATTGATTGATTGAATGATAGATGGACTGATAGTTGATCGATTTGTTGATTGATAAAGTAATTGTTGTTTGGTTGCTTGATTGATCGAATGATAGGTAGACGTACTGGTGGTTGACTGATTGATTGATTGATTGATTGATGGATGTGCTGGTGGTTGATTAATTGATTGTTTGAACGATGGATGTACAGGTGCTTGGTTGGTTGATTCATTAGTTGATTAAATGATGGATGCACTGGTGGTTAATTGATTGATCACGATGGATGTACTGATGGTTGTTTCGTTTATTGATTAAATTAATTATGGATGTACTGATAGTTGATTGAATAATTGATTGAATTAATGATGGATTTATTGATAATTGATTGATGTAATGATGGACGGACTAATGGTTCGTTCATTTATTGATTTAACGAATGATAGATGTACTGATGGTTGATTGATTGATTGAATGATGGATAAACTAATGGTTGATAGGTTGATTGGTTGACTGATTGGTTGAGTGATGGATGCACTGGTGGTTGGTTGATTGATGTATGGACGGATGATTGATTGGTTGATTGATCGAATGATGGATGTACTGATGGTTGACTGATTGAATAAACTATGGATGATAAATATACTGAATGTTGTTTGAATTATTGAATAAATGAATGATGTATGTGCTGATGTTCAATTGATTGATTTATAGAATGATGTACTGATGGTTGACTGATTGACTGATTGAATGATGGATGCATTGATGGTTGATTGATTGATTAAACGACGGATGTACTTATGCTTTGTTGATTGATTGGTTGATTGATCGAATGATTGATGTACTGATTGTTAAATGGTTGATTGATTAAAAGATGGATGGATGTACAGATGGTTGACTGACTGATTAATTGACTGATTTGTGGACTTATGGTTGATTGATTGATTGAATGATGTAAGTGTTGATGGTTGGTTAATTAATTGATTAAGTGAATTATGGATGATGAATAAACTGAATGTTGTTTGATTTATTGAATGATGTGTGTGCTGATGTTCAATTGATTGATTGGTAGAATGATGTACTGATGTTTGACTGATTGAATGATGGATGCACTGATGGTTGATTGATTGAACGATGGATGTGCTAATGCTTTGTTGATTATTTGATTGATTGATTGATTGATTGATTGATTGAATATTAAATTATGGATGTACTGATGCCTGGTTGGTTGGTTGATTGATAGATTAAAATAATGATAGATATACTGATGGTTGGTTGATTGGTTGAATGAATGATGCATGTATTGATCGTTGATTGATTGAGTGATTGAATGATGGAAATACTAATGGTTGATTTATGAATTGAATGGTGTATATGCTGATGGTTGACTGACTGATTGATTGATGTACTGAAGGTTGATTGATTGATGTACTAAATGTTAGATGTACTGATGGTTGTATGATTGATTAATTGATTGAAAAAGTGATATTTATACTGATGGTTGATCGATTGGTTGAATGGATAGTTAATGTACTAAATGTTGGTTGATTGACTGATTGATGGACTGATGGTTGGTAATTGATTTATTTAAATAATGATGTATGTACTGATGGTTGATTATTCAATTGTTTGCATGATTGATTGATTTATGTACTGATGGTTGGTTGCTTGATTGAATGATGGATGGACTGATGGTTGATTGATTGATATCCTGATGGTTGAATAATGGATTGAATGATGGATGTACTGATATCTGATTGATTGATTGATTAAAGGAAAAATGGATGTACTGATAGTTGATTGATTTATTGATTGAATGACAGCTGTACTGATGGATGATTGATTATTTGATTGATTGAAGATGGATATACTGATGGCTAATTGATTGATTGATTATACGAATTACGTATTTTCTGATGGCTGATTTATTGATTGATTGATTGATTGATGGATGAACTGATGGTTGGTTGATTGATTGATATAATGAAAGATGGATGCACTGATGATTAATTGATTGATTGATTGAATGATGGATGTACTGATGGTTGACTGATTGATTGAATGAATGATGAATGTACCGATGTTTGATTGATTGATCGACTGAATGATGGATGGACTGATGGTTGATTGGTTGACTGATTGATTGATTGAAGGATGGAGTACTGATGGTTGGTTGATTGATTGATTGTTTGAATAAATGATGTATGTACTGATGGTTGATTGATTGATATACTGAAGGTTGATTGCCTGATTGATTGATTGATTGATTGATTGATTGATTGATTGATTGATTGATTGATTGATTGAACATTACTTAATTCGAGTCACAAAATCTGTGTTCTGTCGCCTTGGTGTGATTCTAACCCTCTGAAATGGTCTGAGCAAACTAATTATAACTTTAGCTACACTGTCTCTCTACGTGCAGACAACATCTAAGCCATGACTGATTCATCGATCATTGCGTTAACCTATTATTATTTGTAGATTGTTATTGTCAACGTTGGCTTGTGATTGACTGACGACATATCCACACTGCATCTCCTCTTCTTTTTCTTCGCGTTCACCAGCAGTCGCCCTCGGCAGAAAGTCCAGGTTATCGGTCCACTTCTGGACTTTTGTGTTGCTCCGGAACATCAGTTTAGCGTGTGTGTGTGTGCAGTTTACTGATCCGGTTTATTTGTATGCAGACTGTTGATTCCATGCCTCCCAAGCAGATGTACCTCAGCTTTAAAGGAAAACATCTTTCCTCTGAACGTTGAGTGTTTGCCCTGCTGACCGGGTCAGTCCTTGTTGCACGACTGTTTCTAGGCTGTGATGATGAGTAGGTTCTCCTGCTACTAAAGGGATTTGTGCAAGCTGGTCTTACCATGCATCAGTTCAACATCTAGTTCTTACGAAACAGCCAGTCTTTCTGCCTGTTAGTTTTCCAACACAGTTAGTTGTGTATCCCTTACCGAATTTGCAGAACCAGCTCCAGCATGTTTTGGCTATTGCGGATTTTCTAGGCAAATTTAGTAGTTTGCCATTGCTTACTGAACATTCAGAACTTGGTACCACCGTAGAAATCACCTGCAGTTGGGTTCGAACTGACACCCCGGCAATACGAAACACGTTTGTAATGACGCCGACGCAACGAAGTGTTTGTTAGCCAGTAAAATTACAATAAATCTAGAGATATGTAACGGCCGACACTGTCAAACATATACTTGTAACCAATGAAATCTTATGAGGATGAAAGTCATTAAAAGAAGCTTCATTATAAAGGAATGTGATTAGAATCGAGCATTGATACAAGAGAGTACTGTCCCTTTTCATTAGTTAAGTCTCCTTTTCAGGTTAATTAACATAGTGTATTTATCTCACACCAACCACATATCACAATCGAAAATAAAGAAATATAAAATGTCACAGATTTCAAATACTTGGGCTCTTTAGGAAATAACAGTGGCGACTGCTCGAAAGAAGTCAGAAAAAGACTTGCATTAGCAATGCAGAGATTAAACCGTATGAGAAACCTATGCCAAAGTGCTCGTAAATTAGTTAGAGTAAAAATCTTGAGATCATGCATATTTCCTTTGGCAATTTACGGTTGTGAGTCCTGGACTCTCATTCAGTCACTAAGGGAAAAAATTGGAGCTTTTGAATTGAATGAAATGTTATGTAAAAAAATGTATTTTGGCCACATTAAGCGTCATAGTGGCTTGGAAAAGACGATGATGGGGGGTACAGTTTGTGGAAGGCGAGGCAAGGGTCGACCACCGCGAAGATTGATACAAGACATTGAAGAAGCATTGGCATTGAAAGCACATAGGGCTAGAGAGCTGGCTAGGGAAGGGGATAATTTCAGGCGTGACGTGAAGAGAGAGACGTTCTGTAAAGGACTTACTGATTGATGATGGTTTAACTCCAACAGGGCGGCGCAATGATCTCCACAATAATGCTGATAGAAATGCTACCAAAGGATAAAAGAGCACTGCCTTCGCTCGTGGGGAATTTTGTCTGGGTCGGATCTCTGATGTTGCTGTGTTTGATCGCTTACCTGGCCAGGGAGATGAGCTGGCGGTACACGGAGCTGATCCTGGCTGCTAGTTCTGCTCATGCTCTGTTCCAGTGGTGGTAAGATATTGTTGTCTGGCATTGGTTCATAACGTTGCCTGGTGGCATGTCTGGTGGTATTTAATGTTGCCAGATGATCTCTCCATCGTTTGTAACGTTGCTAAATAATCTCTTTATTGTCTTTCATTGCCAGATTATCCCTCAATTGTCTGCAATGTTGCTAAATAATCTCTGCTAAATAATCTCTCAATTGTTGGTCATTGCTAGATGTTCCCCCACATTGTCTGTAATGTTGTTATATGATCTCTCAATTGTCTGTAATGTTGCTAAAAAATATCTTTATTGTTTGTCATTGCTAGATGTTCCCTCATATTGTCTTTAAAGTTGTTAGATGATCTCGCCATTAACTCTCAGTAAAGATGCTAGATGATTTCTCTCTTGTCTGTAATGTTGCTAAAGACTATCGTCCCGATACGGGACGCAATTTTTCGTTATTTTAAAGCCCCAACCCCGGCTGTAATAGGAGACCGTAATATAACCCAACGGTTGAACGGGGTTTCTGGAACCTCTCCCCGGGTGATTCTCATCTGCCTGGTGGCACTTTGTGTCACCGCATGTTTATTGCTTGATGGATGTCCAGGTTGGGTTGAATCTCACTCAGTGTTGCTAGATAGTTTCCTCAGTGTCTGTAATGTTGCTAGATAGTTTCCTCAGTGTCTGTAATGTTGCTAGATAGTTTCCTCAGTGTCTGTAATGTTGCTAGACAGTTTCCTCAGTGTCTGTAATGTTGCTAGATAGTTTCCTCAGTGTCTAATGTTGCTAGATAGTTTCCTCAGTGTCTGTAATGTTGCTAGATAGTTTCCTCAGTGTCTGTAATGTTGCTAGATAGTTTCCTCAGTGTCTGTAATGTTGCTAGATAGTTTCCTCATTGTCTGTAATATTTCTAGATGATCTCTCCGTTGTCTGTAATGTTTCTAGATGATCTCTCCGTTGTCTGTAATGTTGTTAGTTGATCTCTCCATTGTCTGCAATGTTTCTAGATGATCTCTCCATTGTCTATAATGTTTCTAGATGATCTCTCACATTGTCTGTAATGATTCTAGATGATCTCTCACATTGTCTGTAATGATTCTAGATGATCTCTCACATTGTCTGTAATGATTCTTGATGATCTCTCACATTGTCTGTAATGATTCTAGATGATCTCTCCATTGTCTATAATGTTTCTAGATGATCTCTCCATTGTCTATAATGATTCTAAATGATCTCTCCATTGTCTATAATGTTTCTAGATGATCTCTCCATTGTCTATAATGTTTCTAGATGATCTCTCCATTGTCTATAATGTTTCTAAATGATCTCTCACATTGTCTATAATGTTTCTAGATGATCACTCACATTGTCTGTAATGTTGCTAGATTATCTCTCAATTGTCTTCAATGTTGCTAGATGATCTCTCCATTGTCTGTAATGTTCCTAGATTATCTCTCAATTGTCTTCAATGTTGCTAGGTGATTGCTTCATTGTCTGTAATGTTGCTAGATTATCTCTCTATTGTCTTCAATGTTGCTAGATGATCGCTTCATTGTCTGTAATGTTGCTAGACTATCTCTCTATTGTCTTCAATGTTGCTAGATGATCGCTTCATTGTCTGTAATGTCGCTAGATTATCTCTTTATTGTCTTCAATGTTGCTAGATGATCTCTCACATTGTCTGTAATGATTCTAGATGATCTCTCACAATGTCTGTAATGATTCTAGATGATCTCTCACATTGTCTGTAATGATTCTAGATGATCTCTCACATTGTCTGTAATGATTCTAGATGATCTCTCCATTGTCTATAATGTTTCTAGATGATCTCTCCATTGTCTATAATGTTTCTAGATGATCTCTCCATTATCTATAATGATTCTAAATGATCTCTCCATTGTCTATAATGTTTCTAGATGATCTCTCCATTGTCTATAATGTTTCTAGATGATCTCTCCATTGTCTATAATGTTTCTAAATGATCTCTCACATTGTCTATAATGTTTCTAGATGATCACTCACATTGTCTGTAATGTTGCTAGATTATCTCTCAATTGTCTTCAATGTTGCTAGATGATCTCTCCATTGTCTGTAATGTTCCTAGATTATCTCTCAATTGTCTTCAATGTTGCTAGGTGATTGCTTCATTGTCTGTAATGTTGCTAGATTATCTCTCTATTGTCTTCAATGTTGCTAGATGATCGCTTCATTGTCTGTAATGTTGCTAGATTATCTCTCTATTGTCTTCAATGTTGCTAGATGATCGCTTCATTTTCTGTAATGTCGCTAGATTATCTCTCTATTGTCTTCAATGTTGCTAGATGATCTTTCCATTGTCTTTAATGTTGCTAGATTATCTCTCTATTGTCTTCAATGTTGCTAGATGATTGCTTCATTGTCTGTAATGTTGCTAGATTATCTCTCTATTGTCTTTAATGTTGTTAAATGATCACTTCATTGTCTATCATGTTGCTAGATGATCTTTTCGTTTTCCCTGCCTGTAATGTTGCTAGATTATCTCTTTATTGTCTTCAAAGTTGCTAGATTATCTCTCCATTGCCTGTAATGTTGCTAGATTATCTCTCTATTGTCTTCAATGTTGCTAGACGATCGCTTCATTGTCTGTAATGTTGCTAGATTATCTCTGTATTGTCTTCAATGTTGCTAGATGATCGCTTCATTGTCTGTAATGTTGCTAGATTATATCTCTATTGTCTTCAATGTTGCTAGATGATCGCTTCATTGTCTTCAATGTTGCTAGATTATCTCTCTATAGTCTTCAATTTTGCTAGATGATCCCCTCACTGTCTGTAATGTTGCTAGATAATCTCCTCACTGTCTGTAATGTTACTAGACGATCTGTAGATTGTCTGTAAGGTTGCCAGATGATCTCTCTATTGTTTGTAATGTTGCCAGATGTTGACTCCACTGTTTGTAATTTTGCTACTGTCTCCACCGTCAGTATTGAATGTTTGTAGATGATCTCCCTTTTAAAATGTTATAATTAGTTGTCTGTGATGTTGCCAGATAAATATGTTCCTGTATAGGTAATACTATTACATGACCCCCCCCCCCCCACTCCCACCCCTATTTTTTTGGGCAATGCTCTTAGATCATGTGTTAATTATCTGTCATGTTATTATATGACAACAGGTACCGAGGTGGATTAGTGGTAACAAAAACCCATGGACCGTGTTGTGTAAAGGATACACACCAGGAAAGAAATTAGAATAAAGGAAGAAATGTTTGCAGAAAGGATGAGAGCTCAGTGGGTGAGAAGAAACCCAGTAAGGACAGATTCTGGCAACAACGGTCCTGAAACCCCTTGCTATAATTGTGGACGTCTGCTTTTTTTTTTTTTTTTACGTGGTCTTGTTGTATTAGTCACATTCGCCATCGCCATGGGCTGTGAGTTATAGCACAGTAGAACACTACCATATGGAAAGACATACGATATCAGGTGAAATGTCTACTGTGTTTAGGCTAGAGCGACTTACCTTTCAATATATATATGTGTGTGTGTGTGTGTGTGTGTGTACACGTCTCTAATATTGGATCTTTTAACTTTAAGTAGCTGCCGTGAAGTGTAGAAGCTCGCCTGTGCATCTAAAAGTTGCAGGTTCAGGTCTCGCTATAGCCAGACTTTTAAAAGTTAAGTGAGAGAAGTAAAGGCGACATCCTTGATGTTGGCCATATTGTTGACCGAGTACCAATTGATCAATAAAATATAGTTACAGCCCTAGAGGCCCTAGATGCTCTAGATGCCCAGTACATACATAGATGCCCTAGATGCTCTAGATGCCCAGTACATACATAGATGCCCTAGATGCTCTAGATGCCCTGTACATACATAGATGCCCTAGATGCTCTAGACGCTCTAGATGCCCAGTACAGCCGTAGATGCCAAGTACAGTCCTAGATGCCCAGTACAGCCGTAGATGCCAAGTACAGTCCTAGATGCCAAGTACAGTCCTAAATGCCCAGTACAGCCGTAGATGCCAGTACAGCCCTAGATGCCAAGTACAGTCCTAGATGCCCAGTACAGCCGTAGATGCCAAGTACAGTCCTAGATAACCAGTACATCCCCAGATGCCAAGTACAGTCCTAGATGCCCAGTACAGCCCTAGATGCCAAGTACAGTCCTAGATGTCCAGTACAGCACTAGATGCCCTAGATGTCCAGTACAGCACTAGATGCCATAGATGCCCAGTACAGCCCTAGATGCCCAGTACAGCCCTAGATGCCCAGTACAGCCCTAATGCCCAGTACAGCCCTAGATGTCCAGTACAGCCCTATATGCCCAGTACAGCCCTATATGCCCAGTACAGCCATAGATGCCCTAGATGCCAAGTACAGCCATAGATGCCCTAGATGCCCAGTACAGCCCTAGATACCCAGTACAGCCGTAGATGCCTAGTTCAGCCCTAGATTTCCTACATGCCCCGTACAGCCCTAGATGCACAGAACACCCCTAGATGCCTAGTACAGCCCTAGATGCCCAGTACAGCACTAGATGCCCTAAATGCCCAGTACAGCCCTAGATGCCCAGTACAGCCCTAGATGCCCAGTACAGACCTAGATGCCCAGTACATCCCTAGATGCCCAGTACAGCACTAGATGCCCTAGATGCCCAGTACAGCCCTAGATGCCCAGTACAGCACTAGATGCCCTAGATGCCCAGTACAGCACTAGATGCCCAGTACAGCCCTAGATGCCCAGTACAGCCCTAGATGTCCAGTACAGCCCTAGATGCCCAGTACAGTGCTAGATGCCCAGTACAGCACTAGATTCCCAGTACAGTGCTAGATGCCCTAGATGCCCAGTACAGCCCTAGATGCCCAGTACAGCCCTAGATGCCCAGTACAGCCATAGATGCCCTAGATGCCCAGTACAGCCCTAGATGCCCAGTACAGCCCTAGATGCCCAGTACAGCCCTAGATGCCCAGTACAGTGCTAGATGCCAAGTACAGCCCTAGATTCCCAGTACAGCACTAGATGCCCTAGATGCCCAGTATAGCACTTGATGTCCAGTACAGCCCTAAATGCCCAGTACAGCCATAGATGCCTAGTACAGTGCTAGATGCCCAGTACAGCCCTAGATGCCCAGTACAGCCCTAGATGCCCAGTACAGCCCTAGATGCCCAGTACAGCCCTAGATTTCTAGTACAGCACTAGATGCCCTAGATGCCCAGTATAGCACTAGATGCCCAGTACAGCCCTAGATGCCCAGTACAGCCTTAGATTCCCAGTACAGCCCTAGATGCCCTAGATTCCCAGTATATCCCTAGATGCCCAGTACAGCACTAGATGCCCTAGATGCCCAGTACAGCCCTAGATGCCCAGTACAGCACTAGATGCCCTAGATGCCCAGTACAGCCCTAGATGCCCAGTACAGCACTAGATGCCCAGTACAGCCCTAGATGCCCAGTACAGCACTAGATGCCCTAGATGCCCAGTATAGCACTAGATGCCCAGTACAGCCCTAGGTGCCCAGTACAGCGCTAGATGCCCAGTACAGCCCTAGATGCCCAGTACAGCCCTAGATGCCCAGTACAGCCCTAGATGCCCAGTACAGCCTTAGATGCCCAGTATAGCACTAAATGTCCAGTGCGCCAAAAGGCGTGGAAAAGAGTTCTTTACTTTACTTGACCAAATAAATTGTCCATTACCTTTTTTTAAAGACTGGGTTGACTTGGCAGTCAGAAGTATAATTCTGTAATATTTCACCTCCCACCTTCAACCCGCGTCTGTGCGTAGGATCATCGATGAATCTCTTCGCTGGCTGGTCACCAACAAACGACACGCCCAGATCGAGCAGCTTCTCCAAAAAGCAGCCAGAAGAAACAAGATTGATTTGGAGACGGTTCTGGGGCTCCTGAAGCGAGGCGTGGTACACATGACAGTTGCTGATGGCAACGATTCTGCTCTGATACACACACATCTCAGTGATGGTGATGTAGTTAATGGCATGAAGGTAGATTGTGTTTTCCAATTTTTTTAGCATACTCCCTGGTGTCTTTTTATTTCAATTTTTTTTTTTTTTTTTCTTTTTTCTTTTTTTTTTCCCCTTCCTCGTGATTGTCATGGGCTATAATAAAACCTTACGATTGAACGGGGTTTTGGGGAAACTTACGCTGAGGAATTCTCATCCGAGGAATGACGCCTTGCACTTTGCGTCAATCACAGGAGAACAGCTGAGTGGCAGAGGAAGAACTCTATCATATGTGGATGACATCCTCGTGTACCGACAGGGCAGGAACAGAGATGACATTGTTTCGTATCTACAACAGGAATTAGATCGCATATCATCCTAGTGCAACACCTCAGGGGCAACAATAAATCCATCAAAAGCAACAGTCACCTGGTTCTCATTAAATAATCACCTTTCTAAAACACCAATGCCGATAGTGAAACTCTGTGGCGCTGACGTGGAGAGATCTGATTCCATGAAATACTTGGGTTTAACATTTGACAGATGCTTAGCATTTAAAAAAAAAAACATGTAGACCACATTATAACCAAAGCCAAGAAAGGTCTTTCCGCAATCAAAGTTATGGGAGCTGCAAACTTTGATCAAACTTTGCTACTTGTAATGTTGTATCGTGCATTAGTTCTCTCCACCATTGAATATGCCTTGGTCGTCATGACACAGCACCACACAGATGAACAGACTGGAAAAAAATTGAAAACGAGGCAATGCGCATTATTCTTGGATGCACTAGAGACACCTCTTGTAAATCCATGCGATACCTCTTGGATTTCCCAACAATGGAAAACAGAATCAAGCTATACAGGGCTGTTGCTTTTCTCAAAGTGAAATCAGACCATCAACACCCACCTTTATGAGGAATTGTTCAAGCAAAAAAAGAGTAGACTCAAACGAGGGAGGCACATCCTGGATGGGTCGGGCTGAGGATGCCATCGAATATGTTTGCAGCCTTACTGACATTAATTTTGGATATAAATGTATTATTATGCCTCTCTCTTCAAACATTAACATTACATTTCATATCATATTTGATGGAAGCTGTAGAGATCAGATTCATTCATGGCATTGTTGACACTTTAGTCAGAACACTGATTGACGAAAACACAGATGAAGGTGATGCTGTAGTTTACACAGATGGGATAATAATTATTGGCAAGCGAAGTGCATGGGCCTTCACAGTAAGCTCAAGGGGGAAAACCATCAAGCAGATGAATGGCGCCTTTGCTGTTACAACTAGCAGCTTTACAATGAAAACTATGACTGAAACAGGGGCTTTAGCGTGGCTTGTTACTCAAAAGTTCACACACATAGGCTTTCTTAGTGACTCGATGAATATGTTTTTAAAAAATCAAAGCTGGATTTATCAGGCAAAAATGGATTGAAGCACTAAGCACTTCCCGAATAACTGTTCTAACTTTCATCTTTGTGCCAGGTGATGCGGGTGTTCAAGGGAAGGAGCGTGCAGACTATCTTGATGACACTGCAGTTGCTATGGCTGGCCCAGTACTGGACAGAACTGATGTTATCAATGCTATGCGCTGCACTTACCGTACCGAGGAGCACGCCAAAGGACATGACTCCATATCCCTGTCTAGACTGATGGACATAGGGGTGCAGCCTGGAGTTGCAAGAAATAAACATTTCACTAAGGGGACAAGACGTATAATAAAATTAGTAACCATGGAAATGAGATGTCTGAGAAGAGCTGTGGGAGTGACTATAAGAGATAAGATCAGGAATGAGATCATAAGAGAAAAAGTCGGCACAGAACCAATTCTAAATTACATAAGAAGACAGCAAGTGAAATGGTTTGCCCACTGAGAGAGAATGCCGTGTGACACCATACCATAGAAAGCATACATGGAAAGAGAAGAAGGACGTAGAGCACGAGGTAGACCATAACAAGATGGAAGGATAACATCACAGAAACTCTACAACAGCACTATGTGCCTATGGTCGAGGCGGCCAGAAGAGCTAGAAACAGAACCTTATATCTCCCTCGACACCCACAGCGGTAAAAGAGGAAGTGAAGAAGAAGAAGAAGAAGACAAGATGTTTCATTAACCAGCACAGAACAACCGTGATCAGTCGTTTTACACTTGTGGAGCTTTTGAAGAGGAGATCGGAGCACCTATGGATCTGTCTGGAGGGCTCTGATGATAATCTTTTTTAATCCCTAATCACTAATCACTTGGTGTCAAAAGGTGCTTATTGCTTAGCTTGCAGTTCTAGTGTGATTTAGTTTAACTCACTCACTCCCTCTTCTTTTCCCCTTCCTCTTCCTCCTCCTCCTCAATCTTCTTCTTCTTCTTCTTCTTCTTCTTCTTCTTCTTCTTCTTCTTCTTCTTCTTCTTCTTCTTCTTCTTCTTCTTCTTCTTCTTCTTCTTCTTTCTTCTTCTTCTTCTTCTTCTTCTTCTTCTTCTTCTTCTTCTTCTTCTTCTTCTTCTTCTTCTTCTTCTTCTTCTTCTTCTTCTTCTTCTTCTTCTTCTTTTTCTTCTTCTTCTTCTTCTTCTTCTTCTTCTTCTTCTTTTTCTTCTTCTTCTTCTTCTTCTTCTTCTTCTTCTTCTTCTTCTTCTTCTTCTTCTTCTTCTTCTTCTTCTTCTTCTTCTTCTTCTTCTTCTTCTTCTTCTTCTTCTTCTTCTTCTTCTTCTTCTTCGATTTCATCATGTGATTAGCTCTCGCATGATCCCAATAGTCTCTAGATTTGTAGCGCAATTGCGTTTACCGGTTGTAAACTCCGTCGCAAAGTTCTGGTTGGTCGTCCACTTATAGTCTTTAGTCTGGTTCAAGAACCTGAGTGCTGCGTGCTCATCTGTTCAACACATATGGCTTATTTACTAGCAGACTGGTGGTTCCTTGTGCACTCCGACTTCGAAGGAAGCCCCCCAGTTAGTTGACTCTTACAGTGTGCATGTCCTATTTTCTCCTCAGTGGGGCACTAGAACCCCAACGGATAACACTGTCATCTTTAATGTCTGCAGATGACCGCCCTAGATAAAGCTGACGTCAGGGAAAACAACAACGTCATCGCTCCCGTTCAAGCGGTCCCAAAGGAAATGTTTCTTATGGCGTTCGTCAAAAACAAACACGTCCTGCTGACTACTGTCATTTCCTGCTATATGTGGTAAGCCTTGCTGTATTTTTTCATCTGATCTGTGTGTGATGTTTCCTTTCTTATGCAGACATGTGTTAAGGAACATGCTACATCCCTTGAGGCGTAATGGGCATAGTCCTAACTTGGATAGACCAATCGGCTCTTGGTGAGTGATGTGTTCAGCCTCACGCCTGCCGCCTTTACTTCTCAGGACTATAACTGGTATCCAATCAAGATTGGAAGCCAAGGTCGTTTTTCGAAAAACGGCTGCCTCTGTTAGGGCCCGAACCAACGACCTTCCGTTCCATAGGCAAACGTCTAGCCGCTACACCATGGGAGCTGTATGTAGACATGTGTCGTAGTTCAAATTGATCTAGTGAGATAGCCCTTGAAAGGGCGTTTGGCACACTGAGGAAACCAGATTGAAGTAGGGCAGTAAGAAAGGGTCGTAAAAAAATAGAAAAAAAAGGCGGGGGGGAGGGGGGGGGGAGAGTTGGACTCTGGTAAGGTGAGATGTCGGGGCGGAGAAGGAATAAAGAAGCAGATAAGAAGAGGAGGGGTTAACAGTGCAGACGTACCAACATAGGAGACATTCAGGGCTCCCCCCTTCAGCCATTTATTTTGTAAGCAAAGAGAAGAAAACCTCATGGGACCTAATCCTAGTTTAAGAGCATTAAAATACTAGTGTGCTGAATCGTAAATAAATTTAAAAAAAACATACATTCAAAAGAATCTGCAGTGTATAAATATACACTTTAAAGAGAATTTGTAACGTCCCCCCACCCCCCCCCCACCCACCCCCTTTCCGCATCGTCCCCTCCTCCGCCAGGTTCCGGCGTAATTGGATTACAGAGCAGGGGAGTAACAACGGATTGGAAGGAGCAGGAGAAAAAGAAAAAGACGAAGAAGAAGAAAAAAGAATGAGAAGTAACGATATGATAATTTAAAAAAAAAAAAAAATACCTCTTTTTCCTCTCTTCCACCATTTACCTCAGCGAGGTGTTGGGGGGGGGGGTGTAACTATGGTTTGTGCGCTTTTTCCAATGCATTGTACAAGTTGCTGTTCATGTCTGTTAGGTCGCTCCTGATGATGTCGCTCCACTTTTGATAATGTCGCTCCATGTCTTGCGTGGTCTTCCTCTTGCTCTGTGTTCACTATATTCCTTTAGTGTGGCTCTTTGTGGCAGCTGGTACCAGGGCATTCTCTTCAGGTGGCCAAACCATCTCATTTGTTGTTCCCTAATGAATTGTTTCAAAGAAGATGAGAAATATGGACATCTTAAAAGATCTGAACGTCAAGGAAGTTTGGCTAATAAACAGCATCCTTTCTCGAAAGCTGAAATATTTTGGTCATATCAAGCACCACGACGGATTGGAAAAAATTATAGCAGAAGGCATGGTACCAGGAAGGAGGGGCAGAGGCCGACCGACACGAAGATGGGCACAGGATATAAGTGACTCCTTGAGTGTGAAAGTTCATGAGGCGGGAGAACTGGCAAGAGACCGAGTTTCTTACAGGCAGACTGTGATGAGAGCGAGGTTCTGCAAAGGACCTGCTACATGATGATGATGATGAATAAATTGTATGACTGGTTTCAGTCCTAGTCTTCTTCTAATTTCTTCATTTCTAATTTTATCTCTTCTTGTCACACGGGCAGCTCTCCTAAGACATCTCATCTCTGTTGTTACGATTTTCCGCTCAATAGTTGTAGCAAGGGTCCATGTTTAGCATTGGTTTAAATAAATACCAATATGTTATAATTTATTTTTTGATGTGCCACTGCCTCACTGACTCAGGTTAACAGTCAGTGTCACCTACTACGGATTACTGATGATGTCCACGTCACTGACGGACAGCCTCTACCTGGGCGTGTTCCTCAGTGTCGTGGTAGAACTACCCACCGCTTTCATATTCATAGTTGCCATTGACAGGTAAGCTAGAAGTTTATACAGATAACTGAAAAACATGGTCAGCGAGAACAATTGCCAGGATTTTAATTAAACTGCTATGATAATGCTAGCATGTGAATATGAACACTGAAAGAACACTGTTCAACACAGTATTCTTACCAACGCTAAGCTGTCAAACATGGACACCGTCTTCAGAAGACAAAAGAAAAATAGTCACGACAGAAATGAAATGTTCACATACTATGCTGGGTGTAACGAGGAAAGATCGACTAAGGAACGTTGATATAAGGAGGTCAGCCGCCACAGAAACAATATTGACCTTTATGGGTAGACAACAAATGAAGTTGTTTGACCATGTTACATGATTGGCAAGGAATTCCAGAGAAATTTGACTAAAAAGCTCAAGAAAATGGGGAAGCAGAAAAACGTGCACAAAACAACACAACGTTTCGGCCGGGCAGCCTTTTTCCAACTACACAAAAATAACAACGAGGAGAGGAGAGTAACTTGCTGCCTAAGATCCATAAGGCCAACAAACCTGGACGTCCCATTGTATCTGGGTGCTCCTGCCCCACGGTGTATCTTTCTGAATTTTTAGATAGTATTTTCCATACTCTACTCTGCTCGGTTTTTTGGGTGTAGTTTGACAAAGGCTGCCAAGCCGAAACGTTATTTGTGTTGTTTTGTGCACGTTTTTCTGCTTCGCCATTTTGTTGAGCTTTTTAGTCAAATTTCCCAGGAATTCCTTGTATTAGCTTGACTGCAATCACCCCTATATTTTCTACAAGAGACGGGGAGGAGTGTTGTACTGATAACAGCAGTAACAGATCCAGAGGTCCACCACGCAGAAGTTGGATCGCAGAAAAATCTGAGACACTGAAACGTACTTTATACGAAACTAACGTGAGGGCACGCACCATTGATCTCTTCCTCCCCTGACCCCGCAAGTCATTCCAAAAGTAGAGGAAAAAAAAAAAAGGAAAAAAAAAAAATTATATATATATATACATACATACACACAACACTCATTCTTCTTCTTCTTCGTGTTCACTAGCTGTAAACTCCGGCGAAAACTGCTGGTTGTTTTTCCACCTTCGGACTTTAGTTTTGTTCCAGAACTTGGGTGCTTGCGTGCACATCCGTTTGACCGGGTCTACCTTATGTGTATGCCGATGCACTCCAAATGCGAATGAAGCCCTCAACAAAGGGACTGTTACGACATTCTTGTTGGGGAGGGGGATGAGGGAAGTGGGTCTATTCTTAACTTCCCCACAGTGGAACCCGGAACCCAGAACATTAACTAAACTGTTAGTGGCAAACGGCAACTTCCTTCTTGGGTGTCCTTCTCCGATGTGTTATCTTAGGGATTAATACAGAGATCGTTAGTTGCGTCCCTTTTCAGGACTCTGTAGTACCAACCCCAGCATTGTTATTTTGGCTGTTGTGGTTTTTCTAGGCAAATTTAAGTCCAGTAGTTTGCCGTTGCTATGTGGACGCTCGGCTTCTTGATACCACTGTCGAAACCAACGCATGGCGCAAAGCCCGCAGTTGGGATCGAACCCGGCACCTCGGCATTACAGAGCACGTTCAGAAAGCCTAAGCCACAGACACCGATACAGAGATAACGAAAATCTAATTCGGAATGCCAGACTAACCAGACAAATCACTGATTGGAATTCCCCCCCCCCCCCCCACCCCTCTCACAGTCATATACATTCTTACAATAATAAAATAAAAAAAGCTACTTGCCACGTAGGTTAATACCATCACACGTCTGCTGGAACCAGTTTTTGTACTCGTCTCTTGGTGGTGCTGTGTTTGTAACCAGCAGCACTCTTTCTTCTCCAACGTTGACCAATGCTAAACCCTGGACTATCGATGGCAGTATAGAAATGAATGCCATCGATACCGATGTCAGGGCCACATTTGATGCCTAAGTCTGTGCTAGCGGATGCCAGATCCTAAGTTGCAGAAAGGTTGTTTTTTTAAGTCGGACTTACGGAATTTTAATATCTTTTCCAGTATTTCTTTTCTTTTTGCATACCTAGTTCAACATTTAAAAAAAGTTATAACTAAGCCGCTTGTAACGGCCTCACCAGCCGGTACTAGTCTGCAGCTCTATACATGTGAAAGCGGTCATAAGTGGACTAATAAGTTTTTTTTTTAAAGTAAAGAGTAGTAAAAGTCTGTTTTCCACGCCTTTAAGGGTATAGCGCATACAGGGCTAGACTTAAATTTGTATAGACCAATCGGCACAAGATGGGTGATGTGGTCAGCATCACACTAACTGCTTTTACTTCAAGGGACTGCAACCGGTACCCACTCAAGGCTAGGTCGACCTGGAAGTCAAGGTCATTTGTGAAAAACGTCCGGCTTCACCATAGAGCGATCCCACGACTTTCTGATCCGCAGGCGAGCGTCTAGCCACTACGCTACGGCGACTCCCGATGTAGGTAAATAAATAGAACAGTAGGTAGTTTTTCCCCATCAGGACATCACACAGGCGATAAACACCCGGTGACACAAAGTGCCACCATGCCAACCGTGGACAGGTCCCGGAAACCTCCATGAGCCGTTTAGGCCCTATCTATGACCAGGTATTCAGGGCACCCGGCAAAAGCCAGAGTGGGGCTTCAAAATAACAAAAAAATGCATCCCAGGAGGGGATGACTTATTCCGTAAATAAATAAATGAAAACTTCCAAGCGAAATACCAAATGCACGTATAGTCTTTGCCCAAATTCTTTTTAGAAGGTGGTATTGTTTTAAGCTCAATGGTTTCTTCTTCATTTTATTTATCAACAAATGTTTCAGACTCGGTAGAAAGCGGTTCCTTGTCGTCTCCCACATACTGGCAGGACTGTCTATGTTAGCGGCAACAGTTTTATCAAATGTTTCCAGCGCAGGTAATTTTTATAATTTTTTTTTTATTATTTCCCTTTGTTGAAAAAAAACAAGTTTATATCCAAGTATATCGAAAGCAAAGAATCCTTTTCACTCGATTTGTGCATCAGGCATACAGGTGTTATGTTATCAAAATCAAAATCAAGGTACATTGGGCATTCACACGCCTGTTGTGAGACTTGTGATGACGCGCCCCATGCTCACTTTATGTGCTTGTGTCTACAGGGCTTGCCTTTTGTGTCAGTTGTGCTTTGCTTAACTGCTTTTCAGCTCCTCGGTCTGTGTTAGTTTAACTATAGGAGAACAAAATTTGACCAGACTTATATTTGTGTATGTCCATTCGGTACTCGAGGGGTGTTGCATCATCTCTAGGGCAGTCTTTACTTCCCACGGCATTACCTGAAATCTATTTTAGATTTGGTAGACCTGGAGAATTGAGGAATATTTAAAAACAAATCTGCCTTGAAAAGGATTTGAACATTTGACTTTCAGACCAGTAGGCCAGGGTAAAGTAACAGCACTAACATGTTACTGTGCAATCTTTGGCACTGCCAGTCCCTTGCAGCATAAGGCAATCCAAATAAGCACAAACAAATATCTCATACAAAGCATATTCATTCCCATACTGTGTTACCAGTGCCAGACGTGGTAACTCACAACAAAACATAAAAGCAAATTAGTAACCATGGAAATGAGATGTCTGAGAAAGGCTGTAGGTGTGACCAGACGAGATAAAATCAGGAATGAAGTCATGCGATATAAAGTAGGCACTAAACCAATTCTAAATTACATACAAAGACAGAAAATCAATATGAGTTCAGATGAAAGCACAACTGGGACTTCAGCTTTGATGTCATAGCTGAGATGCTTTAGATAAACATTGCAAGTCCGTCCTGCAAAGTCAGTACCTTGCTCTCTAAGGCTTGTCATACAAATCTGGAGATTCATATATGTGTGTGTGTGAATAAATGTATATATATATATATACAAGCCTTATATATATACTATATATATATATATATATAATATATATATATATAATATATATATATATTAGGGCTGAACCACAACATTCGCTTCGTATTCGCTTCGGGGCCGAAAAGTGGACCTAACAACTATTCTGTATTCGGCCGAATACTTGCGGTCGGGCTGATTACGAATACTAGTTACCTTACACCCGTTTTTCATACACTGCGATGGACTGAAATAACTCTCATTAACACAATAGTTGCTGTTGCCTAAGTCTGTCGTAGAGAGGGAAACTGCGACCCGGTTGCATGGTACAGCAGCTGGCAAGGTCTTTGCCTGCTGACTGGACCGAGGCATTACAGCAGAGATTCTCAAACTGGGTGCGTATGCCATGGATGCCGCTGCGAAAGTCAAGAAAAGTCGGTTATAAATTGTAAAGGCATGAAAATACTTAGAAGTTAAAATTTAAATTGTCTTTCCTCGCTACTGTCGAAAATAGTTTTGTTTTCCTTTTTTCACATTCAGAGTGTATTAAACTGCATGAAACGCCAACCGCAGCGTGCTAAAAATTGTATTTGTATTTATTTCGAGGTGTGACCGATTCTCCATCTGTATTCGTGAAGGTGCAGCTGATAAGTAAAGTTTTGATTACATGTTGGCTACAATTTGAATGTGGAAAATGTGGTCTGTACAATAGTATCTGTTAGTCTCGTCAAGTAAGCATTTATTTTTAAAGGCAATGCGTTGTGAGTCTTGGACAATCGGTAGATATGCGAAACAATTTCGTGAGGCCTCAGAGATGTGATTGTACAGAACAATGATTAAAATCCCTTGGACAGCCAAAAAAAGCAACCATGAGGTTTTGAAAGAGGCAGGAGCCCGAACACAACTAATCACAGACATCAGAAGGAGACAGTCATCGTTTTTCAGCCATGTAATGAGAAAGAGGAAAATGGAACATGTGGTGACCACTGCAAAGATCTGTGAAAGGAGGACTAGATGAGGACGAGAGAAGATTCTTGAGTCTTGTTGCATGGCATGGAGGTGTGTCGGCACACGAACTGATACATGCTGCAGGAGATGGCAGATTGTGGCGAGGCATAATCGCCCACGCCAGTCGGCAAGGCACCTGACGATGATGATACACTATTCGTATTCGTATTTGTATTCGGCCGAATAGTTCGTCCCGCTTTTAGTATTTGGCCGAAAAGTGAAAATCACTAGTCGGCAGAGCCCTAATATATATATATATATATATATATATATATATATATATATATATATATATATATATATATATATATAAGTTAGTTAACCTTTTCTCTTGGGCCTATTGAGGCGCTTAGGGCAGAAGTCATGGCTCTCAATGTCTGGTGGTTCGTTGCCACATGATTTAGGTCTTGGATGTTTGTCAGGCCCATGGCTGAGCCCTCCCTGATGAGTCTTTCTTGGTCTTCTCCGTTTTCTTTTGCCCTCCGGTGTTCATATGAGGGACTGATGGGCGGAGTCTGGTCTGATCTGTTCTGAGTGCATCGCCGATGTAGTTCTTGCGGCGCTTTCTTATAAAACTGGATACATTATTTTAATGAGTATTGTATCTTAATCATGCCGAGTTAATCTTCTTAGGACATTTGTTCTCAAAATTGCCTTTTTTTAAATTTTAAATCTAGAGCTACCATTGCTTTCTAACTCTCGCATCCCAATGTTAGCACTGAAATCACACAAGAGTTGAAGATTTTAAGTTTTATATGATTGCTAAATGTCTTTGACTTTTAAATCTTCGACAGTCGGTTGAAGGCACTAGATGCCAATGCGATTCTAGATTCTATTTTTGACGCTGAGCACCCCATTGATGTTAACTTACTTTACTTTCTAGGTGTGTAAAGCTGTTGACTTTTTTTCAAGAATGTAATTATTTAGTTTGATGTCGTTTGAACTGTTTGTAAGATCAACAATTTTTGTTATTGCCCTGGTAATTTGGAGTTTAATTTGTCCTGAAACATTTCGGAGATGGTTGGTTTTTTCTCGGATATCTCTGAGTGAGTTGAACTCAAAAGCCCTATGTTGTCAGCAAACTCAAGGTCTTCTAAAATTTCTTCAACCCATTTGATACTCATATTTGTTCTATTTGTGCATTAGCGCATGATCAAATCGACTGTTATTCCAAGGAGAATACATATATTTGAGAGAGAAGGGGAAGGGAGAGAGAAAGAGATTAAAAGACAATAGACGAACACATTTTTTTTTCTTTTCAGACGAAATCCCAGGGATCTACATAATCATAGTCTGTGTAACCTCTACTCGGGAAATTTGCCGTTGGCACGGCGTTCGCCATTTTGTGGCTGTATTCATCAGAGCTCTACCCTACTAATCTGAGGTAAGCATGGTCTGTGCTTGTGTTACAAGAATCGAGTTCCTTTACTCACTCAATCACTCAATGCACCCACACCTGCAGTACGCACCATTACTAGTCTGTCACCCTGTGTAGTAATGATGCCCATTCTAGCTGGGGAATAGGACGAAGAATAGACCCATTGTCCCCTAGCAAAAATGTCGTAAAGACGAATAATTACGTTTCGCCGAAAATTGATGTGCTGGGTCCAACGTCGCAGACATGGGAGCCTAGCTGTAAACCACAACTCAGCGTAGAAACTGACAGCCGCTCTTTTAAGTGTGAATGCTAAAGAAGCAGAAGAAATTATTCTGGCTAACAAAAAACATTGGTTTTCCTCAAAATGTTCCTTGTGGTGAGATAGTCACAATATACAAACTCTGGACGCTATGAAAATGTAAGACACCCAAGACGATTTGCTACGATGCTGGTAGTGGATCGGTACCTCAGGGACTCCGCCAAGTAAAAATCACTGGAGTCTTGAGCCCTCTTATAATTTCACAAGCGGTAATAATGATAATAATAATATTCATATGTGCTGAACTGTAAACAAAATATAATAAAATGTATGCAAAAACATTACATATATAGGCACACACTTATGCGAAGAAATGCTTAGGGAGTCCTGTTACCGTCGCTACCTATTTTCTCCCCAATCCCTATTTTTGGGCTCTTCAGGTGCCCAGTCTTGCAGGTTCCGATGCCCTTTCTCCTGACATTAAGGATACGTCTTAACAGAATTAACACTCAAAGATAACACATGATCATAATTTGACAATACACGGTGTCTCTGCTCAGTTTTCTCGTAAGCCATCGCGTCTAATTTGTGGGTAACAGCACAGACTTATCATCAGATACTGTAGTCAGAAGCACCGACACAAAGAAAGCTGGGGCCAGGTGACGTCCTTAGAGTGGAAGGAGAAACTTCAAGATGTTCTAGACCTTGTTCAAAGGCTAAATAATGAGAATAAATTATTGTTTTTGTTGTTGTTAATAATGTCATTATAAACTGAATGATAAATAATATAGTCTTCTTCTTCTTCTTCTTCTTCTTCGATCCTTCTGTCAGAAAACTTATATCAGGAGGCCGGTAGCCTTTATGAAAGCTATCGTGCAATCCATATCCTCTCGTGTACCATACAGTTTTGTCTTCAGTGTGGTTGGAACAGGCCAGACTGCGTCTCTGTTGTCAACCTACAGTTGACAGTGTTGGAGCACATGCTCAGCATTTTCAGGTGCCACGCTGCAGGGACACGTCTCCGTATTTCCTACACCAAAAAATTTGAACATATGTTGACGAAATCTGTTGTAGCGAAAACTGAAAAAGAGAAATTCTTTACAGGGTGGACAACTTTGCGTTCTTTAAATTCGGAAGGGGGTGGGTGTCAAGGAATGACCCGCCACTACACATAATCGTCGAGTCGGGACCTGTTATCCCCTCATGAACCCCCCCCCCGATCGACAAAAATTCAACGTTGGACCCGTCCGGAAAGGTATATAGTCCCTTATATTAATCTATACCTTTATCGGAGAAAATAATAATGTCTACACCTTCTAGTTGCTTTGACTTATCGTCATTTTCAAAAGTAGGTTGATTATTTCTAGGGTTTTATTTGAATATTCGTCTGAACCGGTTTACGTTGTCTTTGCTCATGTGTACCAATGAACTTCTTCTTACTGACAATTCACATTGTAAGTGCTCAGTTGGCATTCTTCTGCCTGCATTCCTAGAGACCAGAGATATTCATCGTCGCCTAACATTCTTACTTTGAGAAGGCGGCCTGTAGTGTCTATGACATTTCCTATGCTTGGGATGAAACCTCTGTAAGAGCTGGCAGATTAATCACAGTCCTACCAACATCCACCAACCAACTATCCACCTACCAACATCCACCAACCAACTATCCACCTACCAACATCCACCAACCAACTATCCACCTACCAACATCCACCAACCAACTATCCACCTACCAACATCCACCAACCAACTATCATGGGCTAGGGGACATCCACCAACCAACTATCCACCAGCTAACACCAGTAATGTACCTTTACATCATCATAAACTGTGTTGCCATATACACCACACCTTAACAGTGCCAGAGCATGTGAGTGAGCTCCAGAGCAGGTGAACACTTGCAAGAGTGTATCCGAAAACTCGAGTGTACCAGTCTTCAGGAGCTTGGTGGAGCTCAGAGACAGAGTTGGAAAACCTGAGGAACTGGGGGGGGGGAGACTTGCTGACAACCTCCCTGTGCAGTTCCTGCGTCCTCGATGTTAAGGCCCTCCCTCTATGACCCACCGGACCCACTTGAAGCAGTTAACTACCAGAGTCAATACCTCTACATAGTCTAGGCGAAACCAGCAACTGACGTAACATCAACAAGAAACTCTGATAATTGTCAGTTTTTGTAAAATTATCATGCTCTATTCCCCACAGCTCCACAGTATTCCCAGGATGACACTGTGTTGCTAATCAAGACCTTCTGGCTGTTTCAATATCTGGGGGCTTTCATTTTATAGTAGTGGGGGTTTCCAGCCAAATGTGCCTAGGAATATTGTATTCGTGTATAACATATATCTTTTTTTTGTAGTGGCCAATACTTGGCCATTGCCCTACTCCAGAAATAAGTTGAGCGTATATTGGCCACGGGGCATATATATCCATGGATATTTATGCCCCACTATATTTAGGGCCCCCGGCAGAAGCCAGGGTGTGGCTTCAAATTTAAAAAAAAAATTACATCCCACATGGGGACGACAAAGCAGTATTCTTTCGCATTCTTAGTGGGCAAACCACGTGATCTGCTGTCATTGTACGTAATTTATTTTTGACCTCGTTTCTGATTTATCTCCTGCTTAACCGTGCAGCCCTTTTCATGCATCTTATTCTTTTTTCACATATATTACATACTGTTGCAGTTTTTATGGCTGTTTCTAAGATATTACTCCACTGAGGTTTCAATTTTTCAAATCTTGATACGTTTTTAAATCTACAATTTCAGAAACACAGGCTTTGGGTTATCTTCCCTTGCAGCAAGAATTGGAGGGATGATCGCTCCATATTCCAGAACTTTCGTGAGTTTTCGTTTTTAACTTAGTTAATCTGAGTTTCTTGGTAAGCAGATGCAGTACGTCTGTATGGAACAGGGTTTGTTTATAAACAATGAAGAACAAAGCAAACAAATGTACAGACTGAATGGCAGTATGCTCGTATGTCATTAAAAGTGCAAAACCGTGTCACATCTTATGGTGAAGCTTCGACAGGGCACTGCTCTTTCCTCTGGACAGCGTCTATTGCATGCTTAGTTACCTTTCTTTTGGTGGTCTTGAAGTTTTGTGTCGCCTCGAGTGCTAAAGATCCCAGGTTTAAGCCCCTGGTCTCTGGGTAGTGAGATCAGACGCCCTTGTGTATTCTTGCGCACGTAAAAATAATCCCTTGGCAGTTGGAAATCGAAAAGAGTAGCCTAACGCCACTGCCTGAGCAAAATTTAGAGTTAAAAATCTACTCAAAATATTTCAGCACCTTGAGCTACCTGGGACTCGGGCTTGAGTTAGAAGTAAAACGGAGCACTTATGGGTTACTACCCGTGTGCCATGATGTTGATCCATGGTTTAAACCTCAAACTTGGAGTTAACAAAACAATCGGAGAAAGGGGTCATGCATCCTTGACAATACTTGGTCTCTACAGAACTTCCTAGGCTTTGGGCCATAGAGAGGTTTCGGTTATGATTCCAATGAGTCCCTACAGCGCAGTCTAACACTGCTGACTGTAAACATGGAAAGATGCCAACGAACAGTCAAAGCACACCCGACAGGTCAAATTATAGAGAACAGACAGACAGAGAGAGAGAGAGAGAGAGAGAGAGAGAGAGAGAGAGAGAGAGAGAGAGAGAGAGAGAGAGAGAGAGAGAGAATATTATGGTCCTCCAAGTTGGAGTTAACACCCCCACTTTTGTCAACCTTCATGATATTGTGAACAAGATGCGTAAGTCTTGAAGGTAATTTTAATCTGCATCCCAGTGTGGGTTCCTGGACCCCATTGTTTGTTGGGGGAGGGGGGGGGGACCCACTTTTCCCCTACAAAGTAAATGGTATGAGTCGAGTAATTAGGGAGTTTCCTTTGAAGTCGTAGTGCCTTCACCTGAGCGACAATGAACCAAAAGTCTGCATACAAATAAGCTAGATCAACCAAACGGATGCGTACGTACAAAGAGACAAAGTGGTACACTAACAAACAGAACTTTTCGCCCCGAGTTTATAATTGATGAATGCAAAGACAGAAGAAAGACAATCGGACCTACAAACGCGTGGAATCACCAACCAGCGAGCAAAGGCCAGCCAAAGAAGTAGATGACCTGTGATATCTGACAGCTGACACAATTTCAAGGACCTTGAACACCGAAGAAGAAGAAGAAGAGAAGAGTCTTATTTCTGACTGTGCGTGTGTATGTGTATAATATCTCTCTCTCTCTCTCTCTCTCTCTCTCTCTCTCTCTTTCTTTTTTTTTTCTCTCTCCTCGTCACTTGCCTTTTCTCTCTCCTTCCTCTTTCCCTCCCTTCTCATTCTTGCTTTCTCTATCCCTCACTTTCCCGCTATCTCCTCCTTCCCCCCCCCCCCCCCTCAATACTCCTATTCTGACAGGGTCATAAAATGAGATGGCCAGAGAAGAGGACCATAGAAATAGACAAACAAACAATCGTACAGACAGAACTCGAAAAGCAGAAGCATACTTGTAATATAACATAACATCACAATTGTCTGACGGAGAGCCAAGGAAAGAGACAAGCACACACACATACAGAGAGAGAGAGAGAGAGAGAGAGAGAGAGAGAGAGAGAGAGAGAGAGAGAGAGAGAGAGAGAGAGAGACTAGAAAGTCGTAGAGAAAGACAAACAGATGCACACGCGTAAATATAGATGCTGGAACATACTGTAATATGACATAACATCACTATTGTCTGCCCAAAAACATACAGACGGGTGGACGGACATTCAGACAGACAGATATACATACTTAGAGCTAAAAAGAGAGAGGGAGAACTAGACAATCGTAGAAAGACAGACAAACAATAAGACGGAAAAACATAAATCTAGAAGTACAGGAACGCAATCACAACCTAACCTACCTTTCCTCTGCTGACAGAGTCGTTACGTGCCATGGGGCCCTGGTGCTGTGTTCACCTGTCTGTGTCTCCTTGTGCTGGTGGTTCTCAGACTCCTCCCAGAGACCACGGGGAAGGAGCTGCCACAGACCCTGGACGACCTAGAGAGGATGTTCCAAGCTAACAAGAAGTCAGGTCCCGAGGAGAAATCCAAGAAAAACATGCCGTGCTGACTCTACCATCTCTAGGTGTTGTGTGTATGTGTCCATGTACTAATGTTAGAATGCATGCCTGCATTATTTTCAAGGGTCTTGTCTTGAGTAGACAGACATTATTGGTCATCATTCTGCACGTCTCTGTGTTGTGTGATGCTTTCATAAAATATATATGTAGCTCTTAGTAGCAGAAATCTTTCCCGTGTAGTTTCCGGGGACCCTGTGTGGGGAAAAAGGGGTAGACCCACCGCCTTCCCAAACAAGCATGACGTAAAAATCGACTAGTTGGGGAGGGGCCTTCCTTCAAAGTCCTAGAGGCCAGGAACAACCAACTGCACACACACACAACACACACACACACACACACACACACACACACACACAACGCCAGTAAAACGCATGTATATGCAAAACTCAGGCCCTGCCACAAAGCGAACGTCCAAATGGACGAACAACCAGGATTTCCTACGGAGCTTCCAGCTGAGGAACAAAGAAAAAGTAGCAGGACGCAGAGGACGGGTTCATAGACAGTATTGTTTCTTGGAAACTGGAATACATCGGGATAATGCCACAGTGGTTTGGACATGGCCTTCTCTATTTATAAATAGAGCAAGATGGGCGTGGGTCTGGAGATAAATACAATGGAGATTATGGTGCCTGGGAGAAAAGGCAAGAGATGGACCACCATTATGAAGGACACTGGCCATCAATGGAGATCTTAAGCATAACAGTTTATGAGGCAGTCAAGTTGGTGGGGAATCGAGTTGTCTTCCATCGTGTAAACGATCTGCAAAGGTCTTTAGGCACCTCCACGTTCGCTGGAATTATCTTCCCTTTGTTCAAATTTTAAAGACCAATCCGCACTGTGGTCAAAATCACACCTGTTGCTTTTACTTCCCATGCTTTTACCTTATATCCATTTAAGGCTGGGTCGACCGGGAAATCAAAATCATGTTTCAACACTCACAAATGCAACACGATGCAGATTTGAACCCACGACCTACAGATCCGTAGGCGAGCGTCTAACCGCTACTTTCTCACGGCGGCTCCTTTGGTCATTAAATTCTGCTGCCCAAATGGTCCCCTGTGTATGTGTCTTCCCCCTTGCCACGATCGTTAAGCCTCTTCGTTCAGTGGATTATGTTGATACCTGCTTGACTGCAGTCAGCTATATTTGTTGTTGTGTTTTTAATCAACCTGCTGTGTGATGTTGACGACGATGATGATGATGATGATGATGATAGTAGTGTTGGTGGTGATATGTAGTGTAGTTTATATTCTTATGTGTTGTTCAGAATGTTTCGTTAGCGCAGTCGATAGGAGACTCGCTTTCAAATCCAGCTGCGACTCGCTGCAGCACACGGCCTGGGTTCCATACCGGACGGTTCCCGGGGTTCATGCAGCCTCTAAAAAACTGGTAAATGGAGGAACGGCGAAACAGGTGGAAGTTTTTTATCAGCTCTCCGTACTGGCGGCAAAGCACTTATGGTTTATAACCGTGTGTAATGACGCTGGTTCACATCTGCCACTTTACTTTTACACAACATCCCCTGTCTCTCTTATCGTGGAATACCCCACCCCCCCCCCCCCTTTTCCCTCCTTTTCCCCAATACTTTTGTTATGGTACAAAGTAATCCCGTTTAATCATGTATTGAATTTTCTGTAAAAGTATGTGTTGATACATTTAATATTATTTCAAGTATATTATACGAAGAGAGGGAATTGAATGGTATGATAGAATAACTAATGTAGAGCTTTGGGAGAGAACTAAACAGGCTCCAGTGGACCAAGAGGTGAGGAAAAGACGCTGGCGTTGGACAGGACACACACTGAGAAAACAGGAGAACAGCATAATTAGAATGTCTTTGCATTGGAACCCACAGGGGCATAGAAAGAAAGCTAGGCCAAAAAACACATGGAGAAGAGAGCTGGAGAATAAAGTTAGAAAGATAGGGAGGACATGGGTAAATCTCTATTCAATGGCGAAGGATAGAACGACTTGGCGTGAGTTCGTTGAGGGCCTATGCTCCATTGGGGGATCGAATGGCAGAAGAAGAAGAAGAAGATATTATATTTATTTGTCATTTAGCACATTATTATTATTATTTTTATTATTATTATTATTATTATTATTATTATTATTATTATTATTATTAATATTAATAATATAAGAATGTGTTGAATTGCAAATAAAAAATAATATATGTGAAGTATTTTGTAATGTCTGAAAAATTCTTTGAAAGACAATTTCTATGAAAGGGTAACGGGGGCATCGATGCCCTGCTGCTTCTTCTTCTTCTTTTTCTTCTTCTTCTTTTTCTTCTTCTTCTTCTTCTTCGTGTTGAATGTAAACACCAGCCGACGGATAGTTCTGATTGTCTGCCCCCCCCCCCCCCACTGAAATTTAGTTATGTTTCAGAACCTGAGTGTAATGTGCACATCCGTTTTATAGATATGTCTTATTTACAAGCCTATTGGTTCCTTACCTCTCAGGCACGGGCACTGCAACTTTCGAAGGAAGTCCCTAGTTAGTCGACTCTTGCAAAATGCTTCTTGGGGAGGCAGTGGGTCTAATTTTGAGGTCCCGGAACCCACACGGGGAACCCCTTTACAAAATTATTGTAAGTAAAAGTAAAGGTCCCTTGTCCACGCCTTTAGGCGTATAGGGCATATAGGGCTAGACCGTTATTTGTATAGACCAATCGGCACAAGATGGGGGATGTGCTCAGCATAACGCCGGACAAAATTATTTCTTCTCTCTGTCTCTGTCTCTGTCTCTGTCTCTGTCTCTCTCTCTCTCTCTCTCTCTCTCTCTCTCTCTCTCTCTCTCTCTCTCTCTCTCTCTCTCTCTCTCTCTCTCTCTCTCTCTCTCTTTCTCCTTTTTTCCAGTATTTTCTTTATGGCAGCGCGACTGAGTATTGATGTTCAATTTCCCCTTCAGACTGTTTGAGAAACCAACTCATAATTTTTAAACAGTAGTACCAAAGTTCCACTTTAGAAGAGGTACATTTCATGTAATCCTCCCCAAGACAGCAGAATTGACACTGCAGTCAATCTCTATAGTGGAGATAGCACAAAAGTGTTTAAGATACTGTGTTCCAATTCTTTTGTTATGTTCCAAAATTTAATTTCACATTTCGTTATGCCTTTTGGTCAGTGATGTAATAACATCTTCAGCTGCCCTTTCCTCCGTGTCTGTTATTTGTTTCTTGTATTTGTTTCTTTTCTTGTTAATTTAGTGATTTCGTGATTTCGATTCCTTGTTCTGTGTTCACCACCTGTTAACTCCAGCGGAAAGTTGTCGTTGTTTGTCCATTTCTGGACTGGAGTCCTCTTCCTGAAACTGAGTGTTAAGTATCGACATCCTAGCATTAGGACATCATCTGCAAAAATGTCAATGTTCGCCCTGGTGCAGCCGGCTGAATTTTTGCCAGACTTGCTGTATATATTTTGAACAAGACAGGTCACAATAGTCATCCCTAGGGAAGGCCAGGGCACATGCGTATTGGATCTGATCTCCACGTTCCCAAACAAAATATACTGCTCTTTCCAATTACTGGACGTAAATGTGCCAAGAAAAACCACAACAGCACAAAATTGTGGGACCGGTTCTGGAACGTCCTGTAAAGGATACGCAACTAACTTTAAACTTTCCAACAGTGCTGCACCCATCCAAATCGCCAACCAAGGGTTCACACCACACTCCACAACGCACTGCAAAAGATATGTGAAGTGTCAACGCCGTTATAGGCATCTTCAAAATCTATGGCAACCGCGGCTGTTTCTTGCTTTTGCTGAAATCTGTCATACATATTATATGCGAACATACCAGCACTGTCGCACGTTGCCTTTGATGGACTATAGCGGCCTATGGTGTCTTGTTAATGTTCTGGGAAACTTTCCTGTGTAACTTGACAGATTCTTTAGGTTCTCTGGCAAGTCAAAACAGAGGACCATTTTCACACCAATGGTGTCAGCATTCTAGCTTCATTTTTGTATAGAAGGTTTCACGAAAACTCCTTAGCTGTGACAGGATGACAGGGACATTTTTTTCCCCAGGAACATGATGATGATGGTGAACTTCATAAATGTTAGAAAAACAAATATAACCTTCCTTTGGTTAAAATAATTAACATGAAACATTTAATACACATAAAACCAATTTAACAGACAAGAGATAACAACATAAAATAGATAAAATAACAGAATTACACAGAAACACTGTGAGTTTTCAATGAGAATCTAATTAGGTTAGTTGCGTATCCTTTACAGGACGTTGCAGAACCAACCCCAACAGCCCCTGTCTTTTGTGTGGTTTTTCTAGACAAATTTACGGTTGGCTTTCTTGATAACACTGTCGAAACCAACGTTAAGGCGCATGGATCGAACCCGGCATCCCGGCATTACGAAGCGTTCGCATCGACTTAGCCACAGAGCCGACCTTAAGAATCTATATAATTATCTATTTACACTTTTCTTTCTTGATGTTCATAGTTAGTTTTAGTCTTTATAACTACCTCTGTCATCAACTTCTTCTGTTCTCCTACTGTTTATGTTGTAAAGACTCACAAAGAGGAGCTAGATGTAGTTTCCTGTCTGATGCTGGTTGTGTAGCTTGTGTTAATGTCATACTGCATTTGTGTCGTGTCTCTGTTATCCCTTTTATCCATTTCTTCCTTGGTTGACCTCTTGGCTGTAGACTAATGTTCTCATTCAGTATGCTCTGGCTGAATTTGTTCTACTCTGACCCGATGACTAAACTGTTTGATAGTCAACGAAATAATTTACACTACTGTGGCTGCTACTGTTCATAGTTCATCTCTGGTGACTGTCTTTTCCCGTTTCTCTCATCTTACATGTGATTTTGCGTTTATGCTTTTCTAGGACTGTACGTATTTGGCATTCATAGCACAAAGTTGGTACGAATAGTGAATTGATCATCTGCTTTGTTGTGTTCATGTGCATAGTTTGATGCCTCAAAAGTTGAGCTATTTAGTCATTCATTAAGTTGGCCTTCTGTATTCTGTTTCTATTTGTCTGCTCAATCTTCGTTCTCAGTGAATAGAGGGGGTACTCAAACTCCTTCTTCTGCCTTTTTATCCCCCAATGGAGCATAGGCCCTCAACCAACTCACGCCAAGTCGTTCTATCCTTCGCCATTGCATGGAGCTCTCCCCATGTCCTCCCAATCTTTCTAACCTCATTCTCCGGCTCTCTTCTCCGTGTGTTTTTTGGCCTTCCTTTATTCCTATGCCCCTGTGGGTTCCAATGCAAAGACATGCTCTTCTCCTGTTTTCTCAGTGTATGCCATATCCAACGCCAGTGTCTTTTCCTCACCTCTTGGTCCACTGGATCCTGTTTAGTTCTCTCCAAAGTTCTACATAAGTTATTCTATCATTCCATTTTATTCCCTCTATTCTGCGCAGGCACCAGTTAATGAATGTCTGTAATTTATTAGTAATTGCCTTGGTTGTTCTCCATGTTTCCGCTCCATACAATAGTACTGGTTTGACATTAGAATTAACAATTTTAGTTTAGTATTTCTTTTAATTTCTTTTGGCCTCCACAAATTCCCTAGTGCTATGAAAGCCCCTCTTGCCTTTTGTATTCTTATTTTAATTTCTCTATCAGTTCGACTTAAACTCCTTCAGCGATTAAGATATGTTCAACTTGTGTTCCATTTACTGCCATTATTTCTGTATTTATTTTCATATTACATTTCTTGCAATCAATGTTAAAGCTGTTTATGTAATAGAGGAAGTCAATAAGTCACAAATGGTTGTTTAAAAAAAATATTAAAGATGATAACTTTAAAACTGTTTACTTTTACACATACACTGTCCCTTTATTTTTCAGCATAATTTCCACCAACACTAATGCACTTGTCCCATTGTTTTATCAGTCCTCCCAAACCGGCTGCATAGAACTGCGTGCTCTGTTTTCTAAAACACATTTTCACTTCACATTCAACTTCTGCTGACAGTGTTATGGGATTGACAAGGAGGGCTCTAAATCAGTTTCAAAAACAGAGGTGACAATGTGAATGCTGATGCATACTGTAAAGTTCTATCGATGCTTCGTGATGCAATTCGAAAAAAATATCCAGGCACTCTGACTAGAGGAGTACTGCCCCTTCATGACAACGCAAGACCACAGACGGCTAGGTTAAAACAGGAGAAAATTAACCATCTAGGGTGGGAACTTCTGGAACATCCACCTTACAGCCCTGACTTAGTTACTATCGATTGAAAACCCACCTTGTCGGAAGACATTTCACGAAATGTTAATGTGTAGTGGTTACAGTTTAGTTAGTTAGTTAGTGGACAGATTGTCCTCACTGCACATCGAACTATTCAGTCCATAAGTGCTTGTATCCAGTCCTTAACAAATCCTGCAGTGTGTAGCAGCTCACGAAACCAGTTCTGTGTTAGTTTCTTATTCTACTTTGGATTTCTGCATAGTGCTCTTGTATGGCCACAACTCATTTAACATGTTGTTCTTACGGTCTGGATTCATAGTCATCACTTGGCTGTCACAAACACGTTACTTCCCATAGAGCATTCATAATATTAGCATGGTTCATGTCTTGTCCATCCTGCACAGTAGCTTTACCTGCAAGACGATCAGCTTGCTGCACCCCCATATCCACCCACCTGGATAGAGATACAAAGTCTGCTTGTCAAATCATCCAAAGAGCACTCAAACATTTTCACCCCAGTCATCCTCATCATTGTTGAAGAAGATGCCTCCAAACATTTCCTTCAGCAGTGGATTGTACATCACGTGAGAATACTTGTCCATTTTCATCTTCTTCAGAAAGTAGATAACACCTTCGGTCTGTGTTCGAGCCTCGGTGAGCCTGTCCATGATTCTGGCAAACACAGAGAAAGGGTTGGGGTATCTCTGGGACAGCAGGTGAATGAGGCACAGGGTCAACTGCCAGTGGATCTCCCGAGCTAGGGCTGAGTTCACAGGCTTGTCTCTGTCTGTGGATAGACATTCCACTGTTATAGCATTCAAACTGTGTGTCCAGTGCAGCAGAGCCACCAACAAGAAACAAGATATCATGGAAAAGGGAAGGGGGGGGGGCTTATAATTCTCTAGAGAAGTGGGCTCATGAGGCTTAAGCCTTATTTATGTGGGCAATAATAATAAATATTGTTGTCGTTTGTATTATATATATAGATATATATATATATATATATATATATATAATATATTACTTGTTGAGCCATACTTTTTTTCAAAAATGACTTGGACAGCCAGGTCACCCTAGCCTTGAGTGGGGCTGACCACATCAACCATCTTATGCTAACTGGTCTATAAAAGGATAGGTCTAGCCCTATATGCCCTATGCGCCTAAAGGCGCGGAAGATGGACCTTTACTTTTTTTACTTTTATATTACTTGTTCTTCTTTTCTTCCTTCTTCCTGCTGCTACGGCTGCTTTTTCTGCTTCTGCTTCTTTTTTTCTTCTTCTTCTTCCTTCTTTTTACTTCCTTTTTCCTCCTTGTTTCTTCCTTTTTCTTTCTTCTTTTTTTCTGTCTTTCTTATGTCATTTTTCTTCTTCTTCTTCTTCTTCTTCTTCTTCTGCTTCTTTTTCTTCTTCTTCTTCTTCTGCTTCTTCAGCATTCCTAGCCCTTGAGACTCACTGCTGCAAATATCACCCACCCCTGTGTATCTCTCTGGTTGGCCTCCTCTTTTCCACATCAGTGACTGGGTCGTCGATTGGCTCCCGGCAGATGACTTCATCACCTCTCGGGACAGTATTCAACACTGCAGGAGTCTCTTTTTAGGGCTACTTGGTGGCGTGCAATGCTGGGCCATTTTATATGGCACACTTCCAGTGTGGGTTCTGGAGTCCTATTGTGGGGAGAACAAGAACAGACCCACTGCTTTCCAAACAAGCAGTAGAAGTCTGAGTACATCTGCTCGAGCGGCAAGAAACAACTAACAGCACACAAATAAGCCAGGAAAACTGATGTACACACAAATCTCAGGCCCTGGCACAAAGTAAAAGTCCAAATGGATGAACAAACAGAAATTTCCACCAGAGCTTACAGCCGGTGAAGAAAGAAGAAGATATGGCACTCATAAAATTGTCACAATTATAACCTAAAGCTCCCCCTTTGGGGATTCTGGTAAAATATGATAATTTTTTTTAATTTTTTTAGTCACAAAGCACCTACCTACCTCCTCTTTCCAGCTGATGACACTGTCTTTGTAGGTCTGTCTGGATTTCTGTCTCCATCGTCTTCTTGGTCTACCTCATGGTCTACAACCCTTGTGTACATATTTTTTACTTCTCTATCGTCTGACAGGCAACATACACAAATCACAAAACAAAATTAACTGAAAAAAGATCACAACATAGAACTAACAAGTTACCTGGAGCCATGGCGATCAGAGCTCGTATCACAACCAGCTCATTGTAGGATAAATTTAGACTTCGCAGACTTTGGCAGAACTTCAAATAGCCATCCAGTGTCTCCGCATGGATTCTGGCGTCAGCTGCAGATGGCAGCTTTAGAAGCTCATTCTCACATTTCCATTGCAAGTCGAATCCTCTGAGAATCTTCTTCTCGTAATCGACACATTTGTAGGTGATGAAGATGTAAAATTCTTGTCTGGAGTCTAGAATAACATACAACACAGGTGGGTAGACAAGTGGGTAGACACAAGTGAATCAACAGCTTTTGTAGTGTGTTTATGTGAACAGGTGTGTCTAAATATGTTTTTGTGGAATTAGGTGTTTTAAAGAGTGCCAGAGCACTGCTCTCCTGATCCAGCAGCTTTTGTAGAACGCTTCGTCTCAAACGCATTGGTGTTAAAATGTTTCTGTTATCTTGGGTATGTGATAACATCATAGTAAACAGTAAGATACTAGATCAAACACTACTGACACAACTCAGCCTTCAGCGAAGAGTTGTAATGCAGTGGATAGCCGTCTCATTGTGGAGTGCCTGAAAATGAAAAAGCTGATCAACTTGCAGGGGAAAGTGGGACAAAAGTGCAACCAGATGTACCAGTCACATACCACCAAATGAAAAGAATCATTAAATCGATCAGGAAACCACCAGCCCCAGTACAAGATGACTATTTTATTATGGACAGACCAGAACAAGTCATTATCCTCTGCCTCAGAACAGGGCACAACCGATTACATAACCACATGTACACAAAATTCAAGATAGGTGTATCAGCCATGCGCACCTGTGGAAATTCTTCTTCTTCTTGCTTCTTGTTCAGACAGCAGAGCATGTACTCCAGGACTGCACCGAAGTTTTGCGTGACACATTAAGGCAAATTTGTTTTTTGGCCAGAAAGAACAACAGTGGAATGTAAACTCTATGGACCACTGAATGAACTAACATCGACAGTGAAATTTATACAAGAGACCAAGCTGCTGATATAGACAACTTATTTTAGGCGAATGAAAGAAGAAGTAGATCTAGTAATAAGTTTATGTTATCATGGGCATCACAGAAAACAGTAAAATTCTAGATCTAGTCATAAGTGTCTGCTACCTTGGGCATGTGATAACATCACAGTAAACAGTAAGATACTAGATCTAGTAATAAGTTTCTGTTATCTTGGGCTTGTGATAACATCACAGTAAACAGTAAGATACTAGATCTAGTAATAAGTTTCCGTTATCTTGGGCTTGTGATAACATCACAGTAAACAGTAAGATACTAGATCTAGTAATAAGTTTCTGTTATTTTGGGCATGTGATAACATCACAGTAAACAGTAAGATACTAGATCTAGTAATAAGTTTCTGTTATCTTGGGCATGTGATAACATCACAGTAAAAAGTAAGATACTAGATCTAGTAATAAGTTTCTGTTATCTTGGGCTTGTGATAACATCACAGTAAACAGTAAGATACTAGATCTAGTAATAAGTTTCTGTTCTCTTGGGCATGTGATAACATCACAGTAAACAGTAAGATACTAGATCTAGTAATAAGTTTCTGTTATCTTGAGATAACATCACAGTAAACACTAGGATACCAGAACATTGAACTTGCAGAAAGTTTGTGACCTTTGTTTGCAAACTGCTGTAAACTGCAACATGTCTCCACACTCTTCATCATATTTCTGGATTTTGCCCAAATTAATTTTTTGTTCCCTGGTTTCAAAGGGGCAGCAGTGAGGGACATTTTGTCCGATTGTCTCTGGTACAGGAACGAAAAAATTAATGGGATAATTGTCTGCTGTGAAACTGACACCTCAGCTACTCACTACTGACATCTACACTAATTCAATGAGTAGGTCTTTCACACAGTTTCACTCCCATCATGGCATGCTTGGAAGTCTTTCTTTTTCTTATCATTCACCAGCCCTGTGTGCTTTCATGCAATGCATCTTCATTGTCTTGTATCCACTTTTGAGGAGAACTGTACCTCCATTACTGTTCTCACTAGGCAACTGTGATGTTTAGCATGGCCAAAATATTTAGCTTTCAGGAAAGGATGCTGTTTATGAGCCAATTCTCCTTGATGCTCAGATCATGTAGGATCTACACTACATCTACACTACATCTACACTACATCTACACTACATCTACACTACATCTACACTACATCTACACTACATCTACACTACATCTACACTACATCTACACTACATCTACACTACATCTACACTACATCCACACTACATCCACACTACATCCACACTACATCCACACTACATCCACACTACATCTACACTACATCCACACTACATCCACACTACATCCACACTACATCCACACTACATCTACACTGCATCTACACTGCATCTACACTGCATCTACACTACATCCACACTACATCTACACTACATCTACACTGCATCTACACTACATCTACACTGCATCTACACTACATCTACACTACATCTACACTACATCTACATTACATCTACACTACATCTACACTACATCTACACTACATCTACACTACATCTACACTGCATCTACACTACATCTACACTACATCTACACTACATCTACATCTACACTACATCTACACTACACTACATCCACACTACTACACTACATCTACACTACATCTACACTACATCTACACTACATCTACACTACATCTACACTACATCTACACTACATCTACACTACATCTACACTACATCTACACTACATCTACACTACATCTACACTACATCTACACTACATCCACACTACATCCACACTACATCCACACTACATCCACACTACATCTACACTACATCTACACTACATCTACACTGCATCTACACTACATCTACACTACATCTACACTACATCTACACTACATCTACACTACATCCACACTACATCCACACTACATCCACACTACATCCACACTACATCCACACTACATCTACACTGCATCTACACTGCATCTACACTGCATCTACACTACATCCACACTACATCTACACTACATCTACACTGCATCTACACTACATCTACACTACATCTACACTACTTACATTTAATCAGCTTGATTCTGTCAGTGATGTGAAGTCTGGAGAAAACCTGGGATGGCCTTGCAAAACTTGACCATTGCCCTAATCATTTTCTCCAGGCATTCACCCATGTCATTGAGCAGTTTCTGACGGTCATCTGTGTCCAGTCCAGTAGTCACAAAAATATAATCATACTCATGGTCTGGCAGCTTTGTCAGTGGACCAAACATCTCCCTCTTCAGCCGACAAGCTTCCTGCAACCACAGTTACCAAAAAAATGTCAGTCAAAACAGCTACTGCATCATCATCATCATTATACACCATGTGGATAAGTGTTATAATCAGGATTGTTTCCAGATAAAGGTGACAATACTCACCATAAAGTGTCTAAAAACAAAAAGTTGGTATTCACCATGAAGTGTCTATTACAGTACATTGATAAACTGTTTGCCACAAACAAGATGCCGGTACTGTGTACTGTTGCGTACCACCAGATAAAAGCCCTGGTTATAGTTTGACAGCCCACACAAGCATTAGTCTCGAATCATGTCTGCAGAGTTTTCTCACTTACTGTCATAGTTCTTGATGATAACAATGATGATGATGAGATGACAGAAGTATTAAGTTTAGTAATGTAATCATATGGGGGGGGGGGGGGTTGTTAATTTATATTGCTCACTAGCGTAACAATTATTCTGAGGTAGCATCTTATTAATGCTTTCAGTCCCCGACCATTAGGCTAACTTATTTTATGTACAAAGCTTGAACTATAAATAATACATGCTTGGTTTGCAGTGCTGAAAATAACAGACCTATAGGATAGAATATGTTGAAAAGACAATTAAAATGTAGAGGATTAGTGACTGGAGCATCAGGAGTTTACTGAAGCATGGTTTGTATGTGTCAACGAAAGAATATGTAATGTGTTACTTGGCAGATAATGCATTAATTATATAATACAATAATTTAATGATTACTTATAATTGTGCATTAATTGATCAATAACTGAACTGTTACTTCTTCTTCTTCAGCATTCCAAGCCCTTGAGGTTTATTGCTGCAGATGTCACCCGCCTCCATTCATCTCTCTGGTTGGCCTTCTCTTTCCAGTTGGTGACACCAAGTGTTTGCGGGTCTGTCTGGATATTATCTCTCCATTGTTTTCTTGGTCTGCCTCGTGGTCTACGACCATTCATCTCCCCATGTATACAGTTTTTACTTCTCTCTCATCTAACTAACATTCTTTCAATATGCCCCAAAAATATTAGGCTATTAGCTCTCATGATGCCAATGATCAGTGGTTATTTAAACAGATTATGAATTTCGTTATTGCTTGTCACTCTCCATTTACCGCTGTTTGCATCTTTGATGGGTTACCGAACTGCTACTGAGAGATAAAAATGATAAATTACTGTGTTGCCTTTCATGGACTAGAGTTTGACTTACTAAGTGTTCTAGCTGCTGTTGCAGGATTTCTTCATCCGTCATCTGGCCAAAGACGGGAATCAATGAGCTCTCATCAGCAGCAATCAGTGTTCTGATGATCAGATCCTTATCTTTGTAGATCTTTGAGACAGAGTCTATACTCCAGTCAGTAGAACAGGAGTCGATTGCAATAACAAACTCAGAATCCTGAGGGTCAATTTGCAGGAGTGATGATGTTGCTGATGGAGCAACAGAAGGTGCTACAGCCAAGCAAACAGGTGACATTGTGGCTAGCTTTGGTGAGGTGGTGGAGGTTCGTGAAGGGGATTGTAACAATGTTGTGGTGTACATGCCATAGGCATCAGATAATGATTCATGGCTTCTGGGTGAGCATAAACTGATGGACATTGATGCTGTTCCTTCAAGCATATTTCCAGAGAGTTGTCCTGTACTGCTTGGTGATGTATTGGAAGATAGTGACACTGAAGCTATCGATGAGCAGGCAATAAGAGGCATAGACACTTCTTCTTCCAGGATGGGTAAGGATGTTATCTCCTCCGGTGATGTCATTGATAATGGTGTTAATGAAGAGGATGATAACAACTGCTGTTGCAGCTGCTGTCCTTGAAGCAGCTCGGTGTCTTCTCTAGTAGAGCAGAAAACAAACAATAAAAATGTAGAATAAATTTACATGTATAGATAGTTCCGTGTTGTAGATGTTCTCAGTAGTTTGCAGCTTCTAAATGCTGTGACTTAAATGTGTGTTTTTTAAAAACCTTCGATTGTGATTTTTTTTTTTTAAACTGCACAAAATTTATGAAAACTATTTGGGGGGGAGGGGGGAGGAGGAATATAAACTACATTAAAACAATGATACCAACTAACTAATACAATATTCTACTACAGTTTTACCCTTCTAAATTTAACGTTGGCAAATTTGTGAATTAGGGTTGTATAGTCTAGAGTGACAGCCCATGCAGACTCAACAGCACAGCTACTTGCCACATCTGGAGACAAACTCACCCTAAAATCAAATATTGTCAATAATTGTAAGCTCAAAGCAAAACTATCAATACATAACATGTGCAGTTATATTTTGTGATAACTGCCGCTAACGCTTTTAGGAGCAGCCACACAGTATATTACAAAATAATAATAAAAATAATAACTTTGCACTGTCAGATCAAACTTTCAAAGTGTATTTGGATTTCATTGCTTCTGCGGACCCCTTACGGTGCCACCTGATGCAGTCAGCTCTCTGTATCATGGCATTGCACAACACTATGTAGAGATATGTAGTTGAAGAAGCAGAGGAAGGAAACAGTGATCTGAAAGCGGAGATCATCAAATCGTGAAACGCATTCACTAGCCACATCATCAGGTGCCTTGTCGACTGGAGTGGGCGATCATGCCTCTCCATAATCCACAATCTCCTGCAGCATGTATCAGTTCGTGTGCCGACACACCTCCATGTTATGCAACAAGACTGTCAAGAATTTTCTCTCGCTGTCTTCCTCTATCCCTCCTTCCACAGATATTTCCAGTGGTCACATGTTTTATTTTCCCTCTTCTCATAACATGGCCGAAAAATGATGACTGTTTCCTTCTAATGTCTGTGATAAGTTGTCTTTGGGCTCCTGCCTCTTTCAAAACCTCTTGGTTGCTCTTTTTGGCTGTCCAAGGTATTCTAAGCATTCTTCTGTAAAACCACATTTCTGAGGCCTCAAGAAAGTGTTTGGCCTGCCTACCGATTGTCCAGGATTCACAGCCATATGTTAAAACTGGATGCATGTAGCAAGCAAGAATTCTTTTTCTAACCCTCAATGACAAGGATATATTGTACAAGATGTTCTTCATTTTATAAAAAGCCACAAACCTTGACAAAAGGCTTTCAAGAACCCCTTACTTTGTATTTATGCATCACTCTTAAATGTAATATGTTTGAAGTGAAATAAAATAATTCTTTGAAAATTGTGCAGTAAATTAGCACTGAAGGGACGCAAACATAACAGACAATTACATCTTATCTGTGAAGAATTAATTAATGAAATAATTAAATAGACATAATGTAAATGATCAACTTACTCTAGAGAAAGTAATGACTCTAATCCATGCCCAGGTGAGCTGTCCAAATGTGTCTTTTGTATCTGGTTATTTGTGGCACAGTCGTGAGGTATTTTGTCTGTGTTTGCTTCCACAAATCTACCTTCTCTGAGGCTTGGGGTTTCTTTCAGTCGTAGCTGATCATGGTGAATTAAGGGCTCTGATAATTCTGGGTTAAACTTCAACATACTTTCTAAGGAAAACTGCCCGCTGGTGTTTCTAGACACTGGTGTAAACATGCCAGTTTGGCTGACAGAACTAAAACTTTGTTCATTATCAATGGTAGAGAATGTGCCAGTTGGACTAAGATGTTCTGAAATGTGTCTATCTAAAGACACTGCAGACAAAGTCTGTTTTTCTTGAAGTTGTCTGATTTCTAGAATATCTTTTGTTCTTTTCGTCGATGTGTATCTCCCTGTTTTTATTGCTGAAATAAAAATTTTAATGTATTGAAAGTTTGTTTCTAAAGAGGCCAGAGTAAAACTGAACATTGCAAAATTCGGTAGTTTGAACATGGACTTGTAGGGGTGGGGAGGTGGTACGGGATATATTTATATGAGAAGATACTATATGAGAAGATAACTATTATGAGAAGATACTATATGAGAAGATACTATATGAGAAGATACTATTTGGGAGTTTATGATGTGGTGTTTATTTAAGCAATGTAAGCAATACTTACAAATAAAAATAATAAAAATGCATATTTTTACTATCTACTGAAATGTTAAACTCAGCCTTTATGTTCGAAGTACTACTTAACCGTTTTCAATTGTGATATTTAATATGTGATTCCGTCTCAGCTAGTATCAAACTAGGAAAATAATTATACTTCCAAGCAGCTCTGCTAACATATACATGCATACATACAAACATTATAAAAAAAACACACACACAATCTACAAATGCAAATATAGTAATACCTCAGAATTCTAACACCTTAAAACTCTAACAACTTAGAATCTAAACAAATTTTTCAATTAAAATTTGCCTCTAAACCAGAACGCCATCTTGGAAAATGAACCCATGGCACATGCCAAGCACTTGACTGAGCTGACAGTTCTTCAGCATCTTCGCCAGCAGCAGAAGGAAGAAACTGCATAAGAAATATTTTTATATGGAGGAAGAAGGGGAGCTGAAAGAATTAGCACTACTGAAATCCAAGATCTTTTCATGCATGGTCGAAATTGCAAGAAGTTATTGAGAGGTGGCATCCTGATAGAGCCCTAGGTAACAGGTGTGTTGACCTATTCAATAACATTGTTGAACATTTAAGAAAAATTAAAATTGATCATCATCATCAGAGCACTTTGTAACGCTAGCTGTCAACATTTGCTTGTGACCCTGAAGTGGTAAACAATTATGATATGTAACACCAGAAAGGCTTCACGATTCACATATGATTGTCATGTGTTACTATACTTACAGCAGACTGTATTTATAAAAATACATTTTTAGTTTATTGGAAGCTGGAACATATTAATTTAGTTTCCATTATTTTCAGTGTGGAAAAACTGTTGGAACTTGGACAGTGTGTTCTTTTTTTAGGGGGCAGTTTTTTTGTTTTTGTTTGTTTCATGGATACCATAATACACACACACATACACACACAATTGAACATGTATAGTGTGCATGCGTGTGTGTGTGTGTGTGGGTGGGGTGGGTATGGTTAGACATATACAAAAAGATAGAGAATTAACTGCCTTTCATAAGATGTTCAGATTATGTCTTTAATTAGGTAAGTGTATTTGTTATGTCTATACAAATAGTGACCAACCTTCCTTAGCCATCCCCACTGCCAGACATCTATTATAACGACACAGGTGACATAGTTTACTTCGTCCAGGCTCAACCGGACACTGTCCAGTCATGTCACACTTGTACTGTGTCCAGATCTTCAGACTTCGGTGGAAGAAGCCCTGAGAGAGTAATCCCACAAGTCAGCAAGGTTTAATGAGTATTTACAAGAGGCATCGAAGAAATAATGTCCCACATTTTTCTTTATCAGCAAATAATTACATCAGAAAAATGACTTGTGCATGCTTTAAATTGTAACTGTTGGTATTGTAAGCATAGAATAGCAACTCATAGCAACAAAAATATCAGCTACATTAATCCCTTAAAATAAAGGGTGAGGGTAATTTGTGTTGCAGTGTATTGTTGTTAAACTAATGGGAGCATCATTGGTCCCTGGGTTAAGAGAATTAAATCTTCAGAATGTGAAGATACTAATTTTTAGATATTATTCCTGCTGTGATGCAATAACTGCCTGAACAGGAAAAAACCTGGCAAAGGTGAGGCTTGTTTCACTACAGCATAAGGCTGAAGTAGTAAAGAGAGATGACATAGAATGTGAGGACCAGTAAGGAACATGTTCTGTTATATTCTTAGAGAATTACATACATTTTGCACAGACAGTTCCTGAGAAAGAAAAAAAACAGTGATACTATTATCTGAATGCTCCTCATATTTGAACTTGTCAGTGGGGTTCTCTCTTCTTCTACCTTTCTATCCCCCAATGGAGCAGTGGGGTCTCTCTTCTTCTGCCTTTCTATCCCCCAATGGAGCAGTGGGGTCTCTCTTCTTCTGCCTTTCTATCTCCCAATGGAGCAGTGGGGTCTCTCTTCTTCTGCCTTTCTATCCCCCAATGGAGCAGTGGGGTCTCTCTTCTTCTGCCTTTCTATCCCCCAATGGAGCAGTGGGGTCTCTCTTCTTCTGCCTTTCTATCCCCCAATGGAGCAGTGGGGTCTCTTTTCTTCTGCCTTTCTATCCCCCAATGGAGCAGTGGGGTATGTGTAATAATATTATTTTATGCAAGTCTTGCTTAGACTGGATATTTTAAGTTAATTTTAATAGTTATCTTTATATTGCATTTTAACTTGAATCTGTAATATAAAGTAGCAGGAATAACATCTTCTTCTTAACTTTCCCTTCTTCTTTCTCCTCCTCCTTCTTCTTTTTCTTCTTCTTCTTCTTTTTCTTCTTCTTCTTTATCTTCTTTTTCTTCTTCTTCTTCTGCCACTTTTTCTCCTCCTTCTGCTCTTCTTCTTCTTCTGCTTGTTCATCTTCTTCTTCTTCTTTTTTTCTCTTCTGCTTATTCGTTTTTTTTTCTTCTTTTTTTTTTTTTTACTGCTTCTGTATTCACTCTTAACAGAGTGTTGTAAGGTTATTTTGTATTTTACAGCTAGACTGTGATATCTTCACCTTTCAGCCCTCTGCATTCAATTTCAGCATGTCCTTAGTTAGCCTTTTTTTACGACATACTTATGAAAGTTACAAAGTCAGTCTGACCTGGAATCACAGGTTATTTCTCTAAACATGCAGGTGTGTTAGGAAATGAACAGACAGACAACCTGGCTGTGGAGTTCAAGCATGTGTGCTGAGATCTGATGCAACAGTATCTATCACATAAAGAATGTGGAGAGGGACAACAGTTAGTAGAGGTATCATGAAGTTTGCTGCTGCCACACTCAACACACAGGTCAACCACCTACAACATTTCTATTTGAGAGCAATGCAGTATCATCATGCGCACGTTGTACTGACCTTGCAGGCCTCACAGGTGTTGACCCCATAGTGCAGTCCGGAACCTGGGGCCCCACAGACACGACAGGGTGGGAGATTGCTTGCCACACCTGGGTCTACCTGTTTGCGCTTGCGCCCCATCCTGAAAAAAGTGTAATTGCATTTAACGAAAAGTAACTTCTAAAACATGTTTCTGTCTAGACACACCCCCCCCTCCCCCATCACTCTTTATATCTATGTCTGTCTCTCTGTCTGCCTGTATTATGTTTGTGTGAGCGTGGTCTTTGAAATACAACATGAATTATTCTAAAAAGCAGAAGGAAGGAGGAAAAAAAAAAGAAATTGAGTTATTTCTGTTTTCGTTTGCTGATGCATTCTTTCCTTCAACAGACTATATTACCCAGGTAATAACGTAAGGTCACCTCTTGTGTCATCTTTATTTGTAAAAGAGTCAATACATCTGCATTTCAACCCTAGAGCACAACGAGACATGATCTCCTATGCCAGAAGCATACAGATAGAAAGAGAGAAGAAAAGTCCCTAGAAAAACACCTGAACGACCTGACACATCCATCCACCTTTGACCTCGTTACCTGTTCTGCAGATAAAATCTCTCGCCAATCGTACCAAGCATTAGGGCGCACAGTTATGTTACAGTTTCTTAGCAAAAGACATATCTATAAAATGATCAATAAAACCCTGTCTGCAAAACCATTGACACATTTTCATAAATGTATATACCAACCTGTTATTTTATTATTTTCGATCTGTTATTTTAACAGGAGGATAAATTCACATAATTTGGAGAAAGATACACTGTTGTTTTGTTCTTTGAGTTCGAGAGGTCACGGCCTGCTACAGTGTGTATGTGGTCACGTGGTGTTAGTGTTTTTAAGTAGAACATTCGTATGTCAAAGGTCAAAATGTATACTATCATCTTGGCACTGTACTCTGGTAATGTACCGACATGACTGACAGCTTCTGATGTGCACTACCGACTCTGTGGTTACCTGGATTTTCTATAAGGTCATTTCTTATTCATTGTTTCATTCTCGTGTTGTACCATTAATATGTCCTTTTTCGGTTCTTAATATGTTAGTCTCCCCACCGAATGTAGTCTAACGCCATTGATAAGTTTGTTGGACTACTCTACCGTGGTCGAGGTTATGGGTGTCGCGGTCTATTGTTGTCTTGCATTTACGTTTTTATTCCGAGAAAGAGACGGCCTGGGACATAGGTTTCGTCACTCTCTAGAGGGGTTGTGTGTTAGACCCAGTATCTAAATTTTAGTGTAGTGTTAAAAGCTGTGGCGTGGTGATATATACAACACGCGATATCAGCCCAGTGCAGAATATCCCCGTGACCTTGTGTGAAAGTCGGATCGCTCAAAGTCGACCTATCAGAAGTGAGGTAGGTTGGAGGTCGACCAATCAGAAGCGAGCTAGTGTGTGCCGGTGTGTAAATGTGGAGACAACTTAATAATAACCCTCTTTCACATAGGAAATCTAGTCCAGAATTTTTGGTGGACCTATTCACGTTTCTTAGCCCATCTACACACTTTCTCAATCTGATCTAGGTCAGAGGAGTGTCAATTTGTAGTGCTCTCTCCAAAAAGAGTCTCTCGTGTGACCTAGGTTTAAGCTGTGGGTTTGGGTTAGGGCCAGTTCTACATGTTCTGGGGTCATTGAAATCTGTCGCCGTGTAATATAGAACACGCGACATCGGCGCTGATGTAATTGTAAGCAAGACAATGTGACACGCTTCCGACATAAAAAAGTCTGAGAACGTATGAATGAAAGGTCAGATAGTGTGTAAATGGGCCGAGAAACGTGAACTGGACCCTTTTGGCCTCTACCGTCTGTTGGCTGTAGGCTTTCTTCTGGGCGTCCTCGTTTCCTCAGTCCCTCTATGTCCCATCGCAGTGCCTGTTTGGTGATTCTCTGTTCGTCTCTTGCCAGAATGGGTCCTGTATAGCGCTCTCTTCTCATACCGATGGTTGTCCAGACAGATTTCTTATTGGATATTGTAAAAATGTTCTCGGAAATAAAAGCGACTAAATCACCCGTCGAATATCGATTTACTAGATACACTTATTTTTCAATTTTTTATAACATCTCTGGTTGTCTCAACATCTTCCCGAGTGGGTTCCATTGCCCCCTTGCGAGGGAAAACAAGAATAGACAGACTGGCTCCTCAATAGCAGACATAAGATGGACTAACTTTGGGCATTCTTGCAAGTCGGAGTACATTATTCATGGCTGGGTCATTTTCTATTTGTGTCTATGTCTCTAAATATACAGTAAATAGAACACTCATTCCACATATTGTCCCTGTTGACTCATTCAATATATTGTCCCTGTTGACTCATTCCACATATTGTCACTGTTGACTCATTCAACATATTGACACTGTTGACTCATTCAATATATTGACACTGTTGACTCATTCAATATATTGACACTGTTGACTCATTCAACATATTGTCCCTGTTGACTCATTCAACATATTGTCACTGTTGACTCATTCAACATATTGACACTGTTGACTCATTCAACATACTGTCACGTTTGAAAGCGAGACATTAAAATAAGGTAAGAAATATGGATACCAGAGGATTCAGGATTGTGCCGAGAAATAAAAACAGAATTCAGAAGGCCAGCATAATAAATTACCAAATAAATCCAATTTTGAGACAATAGAAAAATAGTCGCACAAAAAAGCTGGTGGTAAATGTGGTGTGCATGCTAACTTTGTGCTATAAATTCCTGACATGGACAGGCCTGGAAAATCAACAGCAAAAATACAGCATATAAAATGCTTATAAGACATGTAGCGGGAATCAAAAGGACACACAGTCACTAACGAAGAAATAGGAACCATTGTGGGCACAATGCATGAAAACGATTTGACAGAACATTCACGAATCAAATATTTTAGCCATCAGGTCACAATGGAACAAAGTCAGTCGGCAGCTAGAGCCTAGTACTTGAAAACGGTAAGCTACAAGAGGCCGACCAAGAGAGAGATGGGCTGAGGGAGTAAAATAGGCGCTACACAAACGCAATATGACACTACCACAAGCAGCGCAAGAAAAGGTAACACTATCCGGCATAAATATTAGGACAAACAAAGATCTCTAAATATATTCACGCGTTATCATTGTAGTTGCCGACATAAAGCGGGAAAAGCTGCGAAAGAAATGTTCAGCTTACCCTAGCGACTGTAAGACATCATCGTCATCATGGAGTACCTTGCCAGCTTTCATGCATCTCCACAATTCTCCCTCCTTGGTGTTCTGGGTAAAATCCACTGATGATATTTATCCATGCCATTGTCATAAACCATCCACCATCATTGCTCTTGGTAAGGCAGAAATTCTAATTTTCTCAGGGCGATTCTGGTGTCTAAATTCCACCCAGTACTGGAATGCAGGTTACTTCGTAATCATAAGGGCTATTTTAAAATAACTGTGTGATACTTCTTGTCGGGAGTTTCGGATTATGCCCTTGTTTGATCCTTAAGATGGTCATCCTACGTACAGCAATCCTTGAGGGGAACACTGACCTGATGTGAACTGACCTAGAGACAGCCGCTTCAATATTTTGTGGGTAGAGGCTCCTCAAGTGGCAACCGTTTATGGGGTCTTTGCGCATGTTGGATACTTAGTCACTCTTAACTCTATCGATCCATTCATTAGACTCTTGCACTTTGCAGAGCCAAAAAGACCTAAGTCGCGTATGTTAATTACATTGGCACTAATTGCTCTGATCGCTGTTCAGAAGCCGTTAAACAGTTTGCTTCGCACTCTGATACTTAGAGTTCGTGGCTGGAGCTACAGAGATTCCTGCCACGCTTTCGGGAGCGAGCGGGTACTGTGCAGACAACTGGATGATTCAACTCGAATAAAGACGATGTCTGAGAAATAGATGTAGAACAGAGAGAGCGTGTGCAGATCTATGGAATTCATTATGGAAACGGTCCCTGGTTGACTGAGTTGTCTGACACTGAAGGGATGCCAACTGAAACCATTACACGTGCTGTTATAGACAGAGAGATGGAGGGGCGGACGAATAGATAGATAGATAGATAGATAGATAGATAGATAGATAGATAGATAGATAGATAGATAGATAGATAGATAGATAGATAGATAGATAGATAGATAGATAGATAGATAGATAGATAGATAGATAGATAGATAGATAGATAGATAGATAGATAGATAGATAGATAGATAGATAGATGGATGGATGGACGGACGGACGGACGGACGGACGGACGGACGGACGGACGGACGGACGGACAGACAGACAGACAGACAGACAGACAGACAGACAGACAGACAGACAGACAGACAGACAGACAGACAGACAGACAGACAGACAGATAGATAGATAGATAGATAGATAGATAGATAGATAGATAGATAGATAGATAGATAGATAGATAGATAGATAGATAGATAGATAGATAGATAGATAGATAGATAGATAGATAAATAGATAGATAGATAGATAGATAGATAGATAGATAGATAGATAGATAGATAGATAGATAGATAGATAGATAGATAGATAGATAGATAGATAGATAGATAGATAGATAGATAGATAGATAGATAGATAAACTAGGGAAATACAACTTTTGAAATCTTTTTCATGTGTATTTCGCTGGTTGGCTCCCTTTACTCACATCGCCAACGTGTTTTTTATTTGTCATTTTTTGCGACAAATGTAAGGATTTGTGAGATTTAATCAACGGAATTATAAAAGTTCGAGTTGCGTATCCTTCACAGAACAAGCCCCAGCATTTGTGTGTGTGTGTGTGTGGCTGTTGTGGTTTTTCTAGGCGTTTACGTCCAGCAGTTTGCCATTGCCACTGGACGGTCGGCTTCTAGATACCACTGTCGAAACCAACGCAGGGATCAAGGCCCGCAGCTGGGATCGAACCTGGCACCCCGGCAACGCCAGAGCCATCGAAATCTGAAGTATTAGGAATGCTTAATTCTATAGCAAACAAAGTTGTATGAGTAATGTAGCTCACCTACAAACACAAACCTTCCAAGAAGACTTCCATAGATGCAGTGCTGACACCTGGGGCTCCAGATCCGAGCCTTTTCCCTGTTGACTGCTTCAGTTTAT